GGAGGAGCTCAATCAACAGCTATACCGTGTACCGCCTCTCCCCGGTACCCGTCTGCTGTTCGCAGCAAGCACACACACACACACTACTGACAACTACACACTTACTCGGCATGGCTGGAGTGTTACTGCATTCTGCAAGGTACACACACACACACACACACATACAGAAGACACAGTACAACCATCACAGAGTTATCAAGAACGTTCCACTTCCCTACGTACTGGGCCTGGCACATGCTACATGGATTTGGCGGAACATTTCATAGATTTGTAAACATGCGCTCATGCACGGTCAGAACAAATACCGTATTTTACCGGTTGTAAGTCGACCCCGGTTATAGGTCGACCCCCGTATCTGGAGGTCTCAATTCTGAGTTTTAAAAGTGTTCACCCAAAGAAGCACTACTAACCACGTCCTGCTGCTAACACATCAACAAATCATGTAAACATTCCTTATTGGAGGGTGTAACGTCCCAATTCCTTAAAAAGGCCAATAAACTGGCAAAAATGTTTAAACATGCTGCACTCGTGCATGCAGTGCAGGTCATTTTTTGTAAGATACTGATAGTTCCCGGTTATAAGTCGAATCCCGGTTGTAAGTCGACCCCCGCCCTTTCTCCTTCTATTTTAAGTCGTAAAAGGTCGACTTACAACCGGAAAAATACGGTAGCTAGAGAAATCTCAAAATGTTTCACTCATCGGCCATCATCAGTCACTATTCAATTTTTGCCCTAAGTTGAAAGCTGCACAGTTACTGTCTAATAGACCAGCAACTTACCAAGGTTGAACAGCGTCCGATCAACGACCTGCACAGCGCAGCGGACATACAAGCAAATGGTGATCCATATCCCAAATCCACATGCACGCGAATGACCACCCACCCACACCACACATGTGCAAACACACACACAGACACACACACACACACACAAGGAGAAATTCAGGAGAAGTCTTAGAACGACAGTTCAGTCGGCTATTGAACCAACCCCCCAGGGGCCCAAAACTCCCAAATCCCCAACCGCCTGGTGAACCCAAACATGTGACTTACTTATGGGCTCAACACACTGCAACAAGCGGGTGAGGACAAGGTACCATGGCATTGGGTGTGCCAAAGAACCCAGTAGATGGATATGTGCAGATCTTAAGGAGCATATCTGTACCCAGGTTTACATGATCTGTACATGGCTCCAGATCGGTGCATTGTGCAAATCTCATGGCAAATCTTTCGCCTATGATTCGCAAGGATGGGGAATGCATGTGAGACAGCAAGCTGTAGTGTGAGGAAGTCTGTGTGCGTGCGTGTGTGCGCGCGCGTGTGTGTGTGTGTGTGTGTGTGTGTGTGTGCATGCCTGATGATTGGCCACCACTGGTGTTCTTGTTTGACATACTGTTATCACAGCACCTCTGCTGATGGTCCAAGGAAACGATACTGAGATGTGAGCGGACTTGTGACGAATCAACATCGGCGACGAATATTGGTTCGAACCGTCACAAGACCGATCTAAGTGGGATCAGGCGTGTGGAGCAATACATCCAGTTTAAAAACCGGCACAGCAAGTACTCTGCGGTATCTGTCCGCGTGCCCCACTACTGCCATTCCATATGTCTCATCGCTGCCTTGCTGCTTTGTGCCGTCAAATGGTGTGTGTTTTTGTGTTGTAAAAAATAAAAAAAATAAAAAAGGCTCGACACAAGTGCACTATGGAACGTACCAAGCCTGTTGACCAATAAACTAATAGCCGCCACTGTCCCCAATGCCGCCACTGGCTTCGGAGTGTGGGTGGCATTGTTGTCCATCGCTGTGTCAAAATTACACTCCAATGCTAGTGCTGTTGGCGTATCTACCAGTTCTACACTTCCTGTACGTCTGTGTGTTCGGTGACTGTGCTATATCGCTCACTGGGCAGTTTGTGACCGCTGTTGCTAGTCCATCGGGGGGGGGGGGGGGGCAGGGCCTTTACAACGGCAATCGATTCAACAAGTACCCGACCATTGATGACAGGGGCAAGTTTCAACTTCAAGCAATGCTCATGTCTCCTCTCGTCGACCCGTCACTCAACAAGAAACATGTGACGTGATCCACACTGCAATGTATACCAGTTGTATGCGCACGTGCGTGCCTGTGGTGTGTGCGTGTGTGTGTGTGTGTGTGTGTTTGTGCGTGTGTGTGCGTGTGTTGCATAACTTAAAAAATAATATTAATATGGGTGCCAGCGAATCACTGACACGAGTAGCCCATACACCTGTCGATACATCTATATTTTCATTCCACACTAGTTAAGGATAACGTCGAGAAACCATGTTCATTGCCATATACAAAATAATAATGGTAGAGTTCAACAAAACCACTATTTTTCGTCATTCGAAACTGAACAACACTGACCTTCCGAGGGAGGCGATCCCGCCCTGAAGCAAGGCCATCTTCCCAAAGTATACTAATAACAGTAACTGCTATTCATAGCAGAGATCGGAGAAGATCCTACTTCTTCATAACAATACTCATCAATAAAATGCAACCAGTGGAAGACAAGTGAATCGATATTGACGATAATCTCAAAATCAAACTCAAGTTAGTTTGATTTCGAGGAAAAAAATAATGTTGGTTTTCAAGCGACACAATATCCATGGAGACGCGTGTACGCGTACGAAGGAAAATGGCGTCGTTCGTACATTATGTCATGTGATACGAAGACTGCAATCTTGCTTGAATAGTTCTCGAAGAGTTTTTTTTGGATAGTTTTTGTTTGAGTATGAAGTTATGAAGTGCATGTGTTAGATATTTGAATCATGGACGACGTCGCAGAATGCTACAAGTTCTGGAGAATACGAAAAACTATTATGCAGGTGAGCTGATGTGCTTTATTCTGTTGCTGCTGCAGCGCTCGGGGGTGTATTTTTGACTGTACTCAGCACTGTTTTCAATTCTTAACTTTCATGCTCTGGTCTTGCAGTTATGTCATGACAGAGGATATCTTGTAACGCAGGAGGAATTGGATCAGACTCTGGAACAGTTCAAGGACCAATTCGGTGACAGGCCCAGGTTGGTGCTGGAGTATTACGGAGCTTGCATCAATGCACTTTCTCCAAACTCTACATGTATAATCACGAGGAATTGTACTTCAAGTATTCAATGCTTTAGTTTCGAGAATAGTTATAGCTAATGAAAGTATAGGCAAGTACCTAATCCACGTTGGTAGCTTCTCTGACAAATAAGGACAGGTCAGAAGGCCTAATTAAAATCACCCTATCAGCACTACCATGCACAGTTTTCGCACCAGGATCCAGACTGTTGATGATTCCTGCGGGCTGCACGGCATTTGCGAAGAAGTCCGATATTCATACAGATTGAGACATGGTGTAGGCTCTTGTGACGAGTTTAGATTTTGCTAGTGAAAGCTGTAGAAATCCGGAACACAGCCTACTTATATTACCTGCAGCACGGTCTGCTAAAGAAATAATTGATCTCTCAAGAAAGTTTTTGAAATGATATAGAATGGTGCGTATTGCAATACGCACTATTACATGTATATTCAGCTACTGATTGGAGTGCTAGCGGTGGTGCTGCTGCTGTTGACGCTACGGAGAGCACATAGGTAACTACCCAAGAGTGTGCAACTCTGCATGGGTTTGCTATGGGGTCCGCTGATGGCGAAAACTCACGTCGCGTGGTGTAGTGTTTGCATTCTTTGTCCCCAGCCTGCTTGTAGCGAGCAGTGGAGTAGTACGGCATATCACTGCCTGAAAGAAACCCACTCAACTTGCGAGGCATGAATATGATCATGGCAAATATCCAGACTGTGTGCACCCTGGCCTTCGTTTTTTGTGGTATGAAATGTACTTGGAACACGTCATGTGTTAGTTGGCGAATCCGGATCCAGTTTGGGTGATCGGATTTTGTGGGTTGGCGCTCTGCCAATCAAGCATGACAATGACCGTCATTTGTATTGATCGCTGTGATCCCTCCTACAAAGGTCGAGAATACGGTAGGTCTTTCGGCTGAAAGCGGACTAGCTACCCTTTCCTGTTTGCACTGAAATTCAATAGCAAACTTCTCATGTATCACCGACAGAACATACCCATCACCGCTCTATTTTCACACTCAGAATAGAATAAATGCTGTGTTCCTTCTTATTTCTTTCATCCCCAATGTTTATTAACAGTGACAACAAGCCATCTCGGAACGATTTGTCCATCCTCGTAGCTCACAATGATGATCCAACGGGTAAGAAGAAAATTGTATACTACCATTGTCTGTTGCTTTACACTTCTCCTACTGCTGCTCTCTTTATCTCTTTATCTCTCTCTCTCTCTCTCTCTCTCTCTCTCTCTCTCTCTCTCTCTCTCTCTCTCTCTCTCTCTCTCTCTCTCTCTCTCTTTCTGTCACACACACACACATACATACACACCATGACTATTTGACGCCCATCGCCGGAGGCGATGATAGCGATGCTACAGCCGATGCCATAGCAGCTTGTGCTGGGATTGCACCATTCAACAGCTTGCAAGGCTGAAGAATTGACCGCCACTATTCAGCCTGGTCTACACCACACAGCTATGAAGTGGCTTTTTTCTGGCTGGGGGGACACACACACACACACACACACACACACACACACACACACACACACACACACACACACACACACACACCTGCCCACTGGCTGGGTAAGTATACATGCGGATTGGTGTCAGTATTTCGAACCCGCACTATCGCGCTGCATGTGTTCCCTCGATACACTTCGCATGCATACACATTCTTCTAAGTTTCTTCACGTTATGGTGCTGCAGTTGAGAGCCCTATTTGAATATGGTGGCCGGCTGTCTTCGATGGTACGGTACGGGACTTACACGGGATGGCGCCGGGCATGCCCGATGCCAGAAACAAACAAACACACCCACACACACACATACACGAAATAAAGCGGTGTGGGCCCTGGCTAGCGCCAGACACTACTAAAGTGACGTCTTTTGCATAGCTTCGGGAATTAAACAGTCAATGGAGGCCTGTACCTTTCTGTCGTGTCAATCAAGGTGTGTGTGTGTGTGTGTGTGTGGATGTGTGGATATGTTCTTGTTTGTATTTCTTACAACAGATCAGATGTTCGTATTCTTTCCGGATGAGCCCAAAGTTGGCATCAAGACAATCAAAATGTAAGCTTGCACGTGTTTGCGTGGTACTTTGTAGACATTTTAGCACCAGCGTTGCCTCAATGCACCATAATTGTCCAGTTTCATCATACTAACTTTTCGGTTCCACCACATGGGCCAACTCCATATCAACTAGCTGTCACATGTGATTGTTATCTGTTGCAGCTACTGCCAGCGTATGCAGGAGGAGAGCATTTCTAAAGCCATTATTGTCATTCAGCAGGGCATGACACCTTCGGCTAAGCAGGCTCTGACAGACATGGCACCGCAGTACATACTGGAGCATTTCCTCGAGAGTGAGCTTCTCATCAATATTACAGAACACGAGGTGAGTGCTCTTCTTCTTCTTCTTCTTCTTCTTCTTCTTTGTGTTTGCCCTGAGTCTGTGATGATAGTAAGCGATGCATCTCCTGTGGTGTCCTCATCTTCATAATATCCTGACCTAGGTACTTGCTGTCTGGTGTCGAAGAGGGGGGGGGGGGGGGGGAGCAGAGTCATCGCCTACACTGTTCTTACTTTTCATGTACTTCAGTAGAACTGTCTATAAAGTGAAGCCACTGTGTACATACGGTTATCCTGTACCTGGTAGTATTCTAACCTGTTCGTTCTTCTGCGCCCAACAATGCTGTACACTCTTTTCGTGCAAGTTACTACAACCGACCCTCTGGGTACGTTGTTCGTTGATGGCCTGCTGTGTGTTTTGCTTTTTCCTACCAGCTTGTACCAGAGCATGTGAAGATGACGACAGAGCAAAAGCAGGAACTGCTGACGAGATAGTATCCTTTCCTTGCACTTGTGTGTCTGTGTATGGGCTGGGTGGGTGATCGATGTGTATGTGTGTGTGTTTGGGGGGGGGGGGGGGGGGGCATGGGGTGCGTGGGTGGTTGTGCACACTTTACGGTATTGGGAATCGTTAAAAATACGTATGGTGATGGGGAAACGAAAGAACTATTGGGACTGAAGTTGAGTTTTGAAATCAACTTTTTGTTTATGTTTGCAGTGCTTGAACATTACTCTACAAGTAGTAATCTTATGTGAGATGGGCTGTCCGGTTTCTTGGTCTATTTGGCCAAAGTGTATCGCGGTGTCTTTCTCTAAGTGTCCATTTCCCTTGACCGTGTACATAGCAAGTTGAAGGAGGCACAGCTACCAAGAATACAAGCCAACGACGCCGTTGCACGATACTATGGCTTAAAACGAGGCGATGTGAGTTCTAAATATTGCGTGTGAACGTTGCTGGCGTACTGCTGCATTCCAGCTATGTGTGTGTGTGTGCGTGTGCGTGTGCGTGGTGTGTGTGTGTGCGTGGTGTGTGCGTGTGCAAGGGCGTACACAGGATCTGGAATGAGGGGGGTGCTCCAACCTTTTCCCAAAGAGCCGAATAATGCATTATTTCGGTGCGTTTGATACATGGATGGTTGATAACTTGATTTTTACTTTTAGTGCGCTATTTAACATGCAAGTATTTACCATGATATACCAAGTCGAGGGAAAATGTAGGACCTCTTCTGTAGGATGGAGCAACCTTGAGGCCTTGAAGTACTCAATCCCAAACATACCCCTCCCTTTGGAGGACAAAATGTACTTCCTCTGTAAGCTAGGTCCGAGAGTACACTACTCTTGCTAGATCATATAACGAAAACATTTTCAATTTGACTAATGTACTTTGAAGTACAGTTGCGCTCACTGAAATCCGACCCAACGTGCAAAGCTGGCGCCCTCAACTTCCACGGCCCTTGACGCCCTGGAAGTGGAACGAATGCGGCTGGACGTACATGTGCACACATACAATGATGTAATCGGAACTGGTCCCGGGCGCCAGCTTTGCACTTTGGGTCGGATTTCAGTGAGCGCAACTGTACTAGTAACAACTTATAGTACTTCACATATTGAATGGGGCAAGAAGGCAAAACTACCATAACAACTTCTGGCAGGAGTCACAGAAAAAGCTCCCAGGAGGCGAGTGCAATGGATGGTGGTAGCTTCACAAATAGAATAGTAACAGAGGGCTGCCACTTTTCTGTTGGTAGAAATCAGAAGCAGTGTCTGAGGTATTCAATGGCAGGAAGGCAAGGGGGCAGCGACCTCTTTAGAAGCCATAGCATTTTTAGGATTTCAAGGTCCCGAAACAACAGATTAGCACTCTTTCGTGAACAATCGTCTTCAGTCGGTTTGTCGGAACAACTGATCGGAGTGTTCCCGGGAAATCGGAATAGAACAAGTCGAGGCCCTGACAATATAGATAACCCTCTGTCCTGGCACATGAAAGGTCATGTAACATGGTTAACTATGATCAACTAGTGACGACAGCGAGTGGAAAGCAAAAAATCCGTTAGAAAAATCTGATAATTGTGCCACCAAAAATTGCATTCAAAAGTCTAATTTTATGAACATCCCCATTTCTTCTTTCAGAGTTCGGGCACAACGCAGTGTTCAAAGTAGTATCGAATTCAATCAAGCCTAGTTCACATTCGACGCAACGCCGACGGTACGGGACGTAAGGGCTTGTCGGGAGGGCTGGGGTGAGCTGTAAAATCCTGTACGATTCGTACGACACGACATGCAGGAGTCTTTGCGACGTTCAACGTTGAACGGCGCGAGTCATAAGGCACGGTCCGTGACGGGGTGACTTTCGGACCTAATTTCTCGTTTTCGGGACTTCTTTTCAATTATTTCTCCTTGAAAGAAGCGGAATCAAGTTCACAATACCAGTTTTTCATGAAGATCAAAAAATTAGCCCTGAAAGTTGTGGCATTCAAATAATAGCCCCGGGAAATGATAGAATAGTTCGTCTGTCACGCTTCTGAACTATCCCTAAATACAATAAGTGACATGAGATCCTATGTTGCTAAAATTCAACTCAAGTCGTGCTAGCCATTCTGTGAGTTATCATGGGAAGCGCAGTGTTCGAAATGCTAAAAATTTCCAAGTACGAATCGGGAGTAGTCGGCGCACGACGCCGTCTCCTGTTCACACTCGAATTGCAGCCGTTTTGTACGCTTGCGTCCCCGTCTACGCCAGTCTACGGTATGAAAAGTTGGATCGATCCAACTCTTCCCGTCGTTTCCCGATCTGTACGGTAGTACGGTTGCGTTCCCGTTCCTGGTGTTCACATTGGACGCCGTCAGACCGTCCCGTCGATCCTTACGTCGCGTCCCGTCGCGCCCCGCCGAATGTGAACTAGGCTTCACACATCTCAATGGAAAGCCTCACTCAAGACCTTTCCAATGGGCCATCATTTGCGTAAATCGGACAATCGGTTGCAAAGTTATGGTATTTTTAGTGGCATGGGTACATCAAGTTGGCCTATGTCGAAAATTTTGAGGGGGGGGGGGGTGCCAAAGCACCCCCCCCCCCTGGGTACGCCACTGGTGTGTGCGTGTGTAGTGCATTGCCATGTCAGTTTAGGGGATTGGCTGCAGACTCTAAGAGATTGAAAGTAACAGCTACTCAAGATTGGCCGTGTGGACAGTTGATATGCTTGTGCGGCCGAATGGTGTGCCCATCTGCTGCTCTTCACTCTTCATTGCTGCAGTAGAAAGGCAGCAGTCATGTCAGGGATGGCCTTCACGAGAAATTAAGTCGTCTGGTTTCTAGTACAGCGTCCGATCATGTAACTGTTTGTTCAGTTTATTGTTATTGGGGCCAATCAACCTCGCAGGAACTTGTCATCTTAGTTCTCCCTGAACCTTTCTATAACCAAGAGTGTCAACTCCGGCATGTACAGTCCTGGGCAGAGATTTCCAACCTCATGAATAAAGTAGCGGCGCGTTCGAGTGCACAGAGTATTGTGTGTGGTGCTAGGGCTGGAGTGCACAGAGTATTGTGTGTGGTGCTAGGGCTGGAGTGCACAGACCAGTGTTGTGTGTGGTGCTAGGGCTGCGTACCGCCCAGTTATTCATGAGGTTGGATTTCTCTGGCCAGTGCCGTAGTACAGTTGGCTCCTGATACATGTACAACAAACACCATTGTGCAGGAGAATTAGTTCTCTATCGCCGCTGCACTTTTTTATAGCAGGAATGCACCCACACCATACGAACAGCACGGTGTTATGACTGGCATGTGACCCATTACTGTATGAGTGCACTTGGTGTACCTGCGACCCTAGATCCTACAAGGTAAAGAGTGCTATTCTCTTCGTCTTCTTGAATGTTGTTTGTCTGTCCAGGTTGTAAAGATTAACCGTCGCAGTGAAACCGCAGGTCGATACATCACGTATCGCCTGGTTATTTGAGTGTTTGTCCGCTACTACATGTACCGCCGTTGGTGTGAACCGAGGAAGCTTACATGGCAGTGCTCCCACTACTTGTAGTTTGCATCTGAGTCGTGTTCGCCTATAAAACACAGCTCATGTGTTCTTCCTCCCAGGTATGCCGTGTGCGGGTCCGTGCTATGTTGAGTCTTCCGTCTCCCGAATCCCTGTCTTTTTTTAGAAGCACATGTCACTTGTGTCTTTTGGCACTCCAGCTGTACATAGATAGAATCCCATATAAACATGAAAGAATCGATCAATCCCACAAAACACGCTGGGAACATTTCTGATCCACAGTGTAACTTATCTCTCTTGAATTTTCGTAAAACATCCACACCCCGTTTGCTGCATGGCCTGCTGGTTGTGTGCGTATGCATGTGATGTCATTGTATGTGTATGTGTGTGTGGGGGTTGGTTTTGAGTCTCGTTTGTGATCATATAAAAATGTGTCCCTGCTCATGATGTGTTCGTAGACAGATGTAAAAAGCCAACACTGACAGCTCCTCAGTTGCTCATACACTGCATGAATAGGCCATGTGCATGGTAATAGCGGTAGAATGCCAATGCAGCGCTCTCACTGCACAATACTCTGTAAATGTCAAGAGTATTATTTGAGAAAACCGAGTCCGTGATTAAAGCAAGTAAAGTTCGCACGTCCGCTTTAGCACCGGCTTACGTTGTTGAGAAACAAAACCAGCTTTATAATAGAGAAGTCAGTGATGGGAGCCCTACACATACCATAATATTATGTGTAGGGCTCCCTGATGTAAAGGATAAATTCCACCACATGTTCAGTCCAATTTTCTTCCGTTTTTGTCTCTTGGTGCGTTACCGGCATGGCGATACTGAGACCTAATGGTCAGTGGAGTGCCTGTAGCCTCACCAGCACTGCTACTATCTGTGACTGTGGCGACCACCATCCAATGTCTAGTCCTCCCCTAACCGTACCCCAACTCTCTCTCAGCTCTCTTTTTATCTGTCTTTTCTTACTCTTTTTTCTTTGTCAGCTTTCCTGGTGGTTATGTGCTTTTTCAAGTAAATAAAAAAAATAAAAAAATAAAAATCTCATGTGCAGCTGAACACACTGCCAGTAGGGACCCCAATAAGCCTTTTGCGCGTTGTACAGATGTACGAAGTTCAGTACTAGGGCGTAGGTGTGTACAGAACCGATTGGGTGTTCATTGTGTGCTATGCATGCGCAATTGACCAATTTTAGCCTAATAATTTATGGCAGACAATCCCAATTCCAGCTTCTTCACTTTGGTTAGAACTAATGACTACCTAGATCTTTTTCAGAAAAGATTTTCGTTTGAAATGCCTTCAGGGCCCATTTCTTAGTGGAAATAGCAGAAAACACAATAGGGTCTTGCACATTCAACACCCATTAGGTTCTACGGTATTCTACGGGATTCCGTGCATCTGTACAACGCGCAAAAGGCTTATCCAGACGCCGAGTCCATTTTTACTGCATCGCAATTGTACTCGTACATTGGACACATGATACTGCGTGAAAATGGGATAGTAGTATCATACTCACTCCGTCCTGCTGGATATGTACCATTGTGTCGAGTTCTTCTCCTCATTTTAGTTCATTATGCAGTGAGTGTTCAATAGTAAAAAATAAAAAAATAAAAAAAATACTCATAGTACAAATAATAATAAATTGAATAATTTTAGTATCCCATTGCAAAAACTTGAAAAAGGAGAACAAGTGACTGCTGTGCTCACATTGATGAAATCTTCTCCTTCTTTTACCATGGTTGGCTATCACCCACATCTTCCCGTTCTGGCTGCCATCGGAAGCCATAAGATATTGAATAAATAAATAAATAAAAATAAATCATCATTCAGTGTGGTGTCACATAGTACATACATGTATAACCGACCGTCAGTTGAGTAAGTAGTAGATGCATGCAGCTTCAGCCAGTGAGCTTGATGTTCAGTGTGAAATGTGAGTGTGTGTGTGGGGGGAGGGGGGGGGGGTACTTGCCCTTAGAAAAGGCCCTCCCCATTAAAAAAAAGAAAAAAAAGGACGATCATCAAGTAGGCTTAGGCTTAGCCTTACTGCCCTTAGTCTTTACCCAGTACATACATGTCCTGTACATGACTACAGTCAACTTACTTACGCCACTCGGCGGGACATCAGAAAAGTGTCCTTATTCGCGAAGGGTCCTTATCATATGATCGGAAGTCTCATTATATTACAGCCTTTGTTTGGTTAGATGGGACTTTGCTCTGGGCATGGAAATAATTCTGTCGTTATATCCGCGGTCGTTATTAGGGAAGTTGACTGTACTGTACTGACAGGGGGATATTTTTGATCTGTATGATGTGTGCCTGAGAGCCTGAGAGGAGTACAGGGTGACAAGCCAATGCTATTTTGGGCTGTCCTTTGTCACAGTTTGTGCCTGGCAATTGGGCCCAATGGATGCCCTGGAGTCTGAGTGCCCACAGAGATCATGTGACCTCAGAAGAGCCCTCTAAGTGACCTTGTCAAGCCTGGGCCATGGGGTGAGTGAATTCCATAGGGGAAATGTTTCACTCTATCTTCACGTCAATATGTGCTTGAGTCTGTAGCCTGGGAGCCAGCAAGTATCTGCTGGAAATCTGGAGTAGTGACCCCCAACTGCTGATGCCAGGATCACTGGACAGCTTGCTAGTATATGGGCAGGTGCTGGCATTACCAATCCAAAACCACTTCACACCGGCAATCAAACCTTGACTATCATATCAAATTAATTCAACCTCCAAATCTAATAATCGATCCATCTGGGGTGTGCATACCCCCCCCCCCCTCTCTCTCTCTCTCTCTCTCTCTCTCTTCCCGTAGGCGTGGTTACCGTGTGACTAGTACAGTGTGAGTAGCGTTAGTATGGTGTGCGCACAGCTACTGGTCCACAGGAGATACATGTACCTGTACATGTATTCAAAATAATGGCGTGGAAACACCACACTGGTCGCGTAGATCTATGCTCAGGGCTTGGACCTGTGTGCATACCATACTGTAACTCTGTCCCATTACTGCAGCCAGGACTATGGCAGAACGAGCGGTAATGTGAGCACCTGGTCTCTGGACCGTCTTGACCGATCGTTAGCAAACGAGTAACATTTTGGGATCGTTTCAGCCCTAAACTAACTTCTAACGTCTACTGAGCAGACTAACTACAGTGTAGTAACTACAGTGTAGTAACTACAGTGCTAGCGCCAGTATGCAGTGCCCTGTACACGTATACCCAATGAATCAATGATTCAATGACTGAATAAGCAGACCAGTCTTCCATGACATTGACTGCTCTGGCCATGATTGACAGGTGGGGCTTGGTATTGACGTGGAAGTAACAGTTGAAGTTAGTTGCTTACCTTCCGCTATTTGACGTGTTTGACTTTTTTGAGGACTGGATGTGGGCAGGGCCTGTCCAGTGTGTCCTGCTAGGCCCTTCTCCACGGTCAGGGCTAGCCGCGGTCTGCCGCACAGAGACAGTGGATCCGTCACACCATCTTTGGCACTTTGGTAGGGGCAAGCCAAGTCATCAGGTGTTGTGGTGTAGGCTTGGCCTGAAGCGGGATAATACTTGTGCTGAGCCTGAGTGATGGGTCGCTAAAGCCTACGCCTACGCCTACGGGCTACACAGCCACAGCCACGGCTTGATCATTGAATCCGTTACAACTGCAGCTGTCTGTCAGCTCAGTCGACCTCACACTCAGCTAGGTAGACCCAGGCCGGCCCAGGCCAGGGAGTAAAACAAACCTAGTTTTTGAGTAGACCTACTCTCGCTCCTGCACTGCCACTGTGACCAGGTGACTGAGCTCAGCTACTACTACTTACTAGTACTAGTAGTACACTATACTAGCACTACAGTGTAGGCCATAATAGGTAACTGGTTACAGGAAGATCCGTGGATTGACACAGACACGATCACACTATTGCCGGCTCTCGGTCATCAGGTCACGCTGCTTCATTTTGAATGGTCGTGTCACCAAACACTGGCAAACACGGGTTACGCGGGAACAGAAAAACAACAGCTAGCGAAGTAGCAGCTGGTCGCTGCTGCTTGACTGCATGCAGAGTGCTGTGCCATGGCACAGACTCAGTAGTAGTAGTATGATACCACGGCGGTCAACCGTGGACGTGGTGCTCGGCTAAGCGCTGGGTTAGTCTGGGCAAATGCCAGGCAAATCCTTCTTCTTTATCATTATTCTGCCATTGATGATTGTAAAATCTTCAAAACCCGAGTCAAACAAAGTACATTGTTGCGAACTACTCCAGCTTTCCTACAATGGCTACTCCCTTATGTACCAGCAGATGCAATGGATGCAAACAGTGCGCAGGTGATAACCAGATGACGCTGTCGTTGTGCGAGACGTTGTGGTTACCCAGCACTCTACAATAACCTTCTGTAACGTCTTTGCTCCGGAATGCACGAGATTTCGATACTACCAGTACACGACGTGTACGCCTAGCGAACGACTCGAGGTCGACGTTGCACGTTGATGATTTATCATGATCATTTCGACGGCCGGATTCGTTCGCTAAAAAAAGTCGTGTGCCTGTGTGACCTGAGGCCGGCTGACATACTGCTGATATCGCGATACGAAACTGTGAGGGATGTGCTCTTTGACAAGAAACACTGGTTTTGACTTTCGCACAGCTGACAACCGGTAAACCACAGCCGGCTAGCCCGCAAAGCCTTGACATGACAGCGCACACGTGCACGGTCGGTCAACCGGTCGACGACGACGGTCCGGGATACCGGAGTACATAATCATCGTAGATCTACATGCAGTGAAGACCGTCTTATGCGGCGTAGATTGATACCTATCTGGCCGTGCAGGGCATGGTACACCGCCACCTGCCAGCTCAATCCTCTTGTCGCCACTACTGCCGTACTGGCATAGTCTAGAGAGTAGAGTAGTGCGTTTTATTTATTGACAGTTCATTGCTTGATCTTCTTTTACCGCCAGTTTGACCTACAAAATGAACATCACATACAGTACAAAGTCATGCACGACTAGTATGACTGTTCTTGACTCGTCTCCTGACTTGTGCCCCATCAGGCCATGGCACTGCATGCAGCTATGTAAGTATGTTGTTTGTTGGCAGTGTAAACCTACAGCTCTCCAAAGACGTAAAAGAATAATAGTAGGCTACTAGGTGTTGATTCTACCTGCGTTCATCTGCCTGCTCGAACTACAACCCACGCGACATCTCGAAACGGAATATTCTTTCAGGCTACATGTACCTCCTCGACTCCAGCCAGTGACCATTGGTAACGCAAAAAGCTTGAGGAATGACAGCAGTGTCTTTATCGCGTGCGAACATCAAGCTCTTACTTGTGCGTTTACCTCGGCAGCCATCCAATCGCTGGCCTGCTTGCTTGTAACTGCAGTGCAGTCAATGTACTACATTTTGTTCAGAGGAAGCACCGGCAAGCTCTCTGATCTGGAACTCTCTTTCTAGTAATTCTATGCTCTTCCCAGCAGAACTGCTCAGGTCAAACTCTTCACTTCTTGCGTTTCCTCGATCCGCACCCTTTTACTTGCCCTACTTGCTTTGCTACGCTTGTTGACAGCGCGTCCTGTCCTGTCCTGTAGAGCCACTGCCACAGGGGTCACGTGGGCCCCGGAGGGGCATCAGAGAGGAAGATGGAGCACGCAGCCTGATGACGCCGGAGATGGTGGGGCAAACGGAACCGGCGAGAACACACGCATACATGGCTGAACGAATTACGCTGCTGGGCAGTCGGGCGCGGGCCAGTCCTCGAGCACCGGTGACGACCGCGGCCTTGCACAGACCGAAAGCAGCGGGCACACACAGCACAGTGCGCAGCACAGCAGGCATCTTGCACATAGACTTGCCGGGGCTCGGGAGGCTGAGGCTGAGGTGCGGAACAGCGGTGAACAGCTAGACCACCCTTGCTGCGAAACCAACGCCCACAATCTCCACAGTGGCAAGCCCCTCGCTGCTCAGCAATCGGCTTTGCCCGCTCAACCACACATTTGTGGCGAGCACGATCTCCAGGGCGCGAGAATGACCGATTGCAATCCGCACATACCACTGGGTCAGGCTGAGGCACATTCTCCACAGGCTCGGCGTACATAGTCCGCCAGTCAGCACGGGACTCACAGGCGATAGGGTACCATTCCTTGGTGAGGCCACGAACTCTTAAGTCGGAGACAACGCAATCCTTCCAGCGCTTGCGAGGGCCATGTGCTGGGCGACGTGTGAGAAGTGAGCCAAACAGGATCTGTCTCGGCATCCGGCTACTGTCCATTCGAGCAACATGGCCCAGCCACTCTAGGCGACGCTGTGCGACCTTCACGCAGATGGTATCAGAGTCACCCCACATCTCCAACAGTTGGGCGTTGGTCGTGTGATTATTCCAGCAATCTCTGCGGGACACACCCAGGATGGAACGGATGCACCGCATATGAAAGACTGACAAACGTCTGAGATCGTGTTGCAATGGTGTCCAACACTCTGACCCATAGAGGAGGAGCGACAGCACACATGCATTAAACACACACCTCTTGATATGCAAATCAAGGTCAGGATTGCTGAAGATGGTTCCTTGCAAGGCGCCACAAGCACGAGAGGCATGCGCAATCCGAGCAGTGATGTCCTGTGTCGACCGGCCACCGCGATGAATGAGAGATCCCAGATACCGGAACTCCGAAACACACTCGATGACCGTGCCAGCTAGCTCGATTGGAGCGCAGTCCCCAGGCGAAACATCCCTACCTGCAACCAAGAACTGTGTCTTGGTAGCGCTAACTTTAAGCCCAAACTCAGCTGCGGTCGTGTCAAACACTGCAAGTGCCGTCTCCGCCCCTGCACGAGTCGTCGCGAAAAGTGCTGAGTCGTCTGCAAACTGTGACTCAGTGGCAATGGCAACCGGATCCGTCCTGGTAGGCTTGCGGTAAAGGTTATTGTCACCATCACAATGCCGGAACTCAAAACCAACACCGGGTACATCTCGGACTCGTCGCTGCCACACAGTCACCACCGCCCACATGAAGATGTTAAACAGCACAGGTGCCATGGTGCACCCCTGACGGAGACCATTCGTGACGCGGATAGGGTCAGTTGTCGTGTTCTCTACCCGAACCACCGCCGACATGTCAGTGTGAAAGGAACGGATCACGGCAAGCATGGGAGCAGGGATACCCGCTCGGGATAAGACTTCCCACAGGCAATCCCGAGGCACGGAATCATAGGCTTTCTTGAGGTCTATAAATACAAAGAAGCCTTTGCAGTCGTGCTCAATGGTCTTCTCGAGGAACTGCCGAACACTGAAAACCATATCTGTACAAGATCGGCCACGCCTGAAGCCACACTGAGACTCTGGGAGAAAATCTGCAGCCACGGACTGGAGACGAGTCTGGATGACGCTCGCCAGAACCTTGCCCACAACATCCAGCAGTGAGATACCCCGCCAATTATCACAGCGAGATAAATCCCCTTTCTTTGGGATGGGGACCAACGTGGCGTCCACCCACTCCTGCGGGACCACCCCAGCACGCCACACATCGCCAAACAGCTCCACAAGCTTGGCGGTGAGGTCAGGGCCACCCCTCTTCAGCATCTCAGGGAGGATGCCAGAGGCTCCAGCGGACTTGCCGTTCTGTAGGCGGGAGATAGCGCGGCTGACTTCACGGAGAGTCGGCGCCTCAGCAAGATGATCAGCCTCCTGTCGCTGTGGGATGTCGTCCAGGGCATTGCGATTCCATGCACTTGCCACGTTGAGAACACCGTCAAAGTGTCTTCCCCACCGGTGGCTCTGCTCCTCTGGTGAACTACAGATGTTACCGTTCTCATCCAGCACGGCGGAAGTGCGCACAGGGGCGAGGCCCCGGGTACAAGACTGGAGGTCATGGATGCACTTCCATACGACCGCTCCATTGAATCTCGACTCTGTGGCCGCCTGTGCCTTTGCCTTTATCCAGTCTACCCTAGCCGAGGATATGGAAGCACGCGCCCTGGATCTAGCCACCTTAAACGCTGTGTAGTGCGAGCAGTCGCGGCTCTGGCCACTACATAGCCAGTCGGTATAGCACCGATTCCGTTCATCTAGCAATGGCTGGATGGCTGACTCTGCCTCCCGAAACCAGTCTGGTTGGCGACGCCGGGAGAAGCCCAAGACAGACGCAGCAGACTTGTCGATAGCCGCCTTGACGTTGGACCATTTCTGATCTATGTCGTGCTGTTCTTGCCATGTATCTACAAGCTCGGTTGCAATGGTAGCTTGGTACCTTTCTGCAGGCGAAGGTGAGTCCGGGTCCGAGGTGCGCACCCGCAGCTGGGCAACATCATAACGGCGGCGCCGCACATTTGCCCGGTCGCGCTCCCGAACTAATCGTCCACACGGAAGTGCAAAAGTTAAACAGAGGAGTTGGTGGTCACTTCCACACTCAGCACTGCGCGCGACCGCAGTGTCCATACACCAACGGCGGTCCTCCTGGCGCACTAGAATGTAGTCGATACAGTGCCAGTTCAAAGTGCCTGGGTGCTGCCAAGTCCGCTTGAAGAGGTCTCGCTTGGGGAACCAGGTGTTACAAATACTCAACTGATTGAATGCAGCAAATGATAGCAGGTCAGCTCCTGAAGAGTTCAGTGCACCAAATCCATGCGGACCACGTACAGTGGACCACTCATCACCCTGCTCACTAGATCCAACTCGAGCATTGAAATCGCCAAGCACTACACAATGGTCAGTCTGGGGTACATCGTACAGAGTGCGTTGTAGATCGTCATAAAATAGTTCCTTGCATGCCCGCGACGCAGCAAACGTTGGAGCATAAACGCTGACCAGAGTGAGCCAAACATCCGGTCCATCAGCTGCACAGTACTTCAAACGTACACTCACAATCCGAGAACTCACCGCGTTCCATACGCAGCCGCCAGCCCTCCACGCCGAAGTTGTATCACGATTCAAAACAAGAGCAACTCCCTCACCTCGACGTCGATTATCCTCTTCGCCAGGAGTGGGGCGGCCCGAACAGATCACAGTAAATCCGTTGACAGCGTAGATATTTTGTCCAAACCAGTGGGTTTCCTGCAGGCCTGCCGCCGCCACTTTCAGCCTTTTCAGTTCAGAAATAACTCGGTGAATTTTTTTGTCTTCCACGACGCGTCCAGAAACACAAGCAGTGTCGATGTCGCCGTCCCGCTCCACCAAGGATCTCACGTTCCATGAGCCCAAACACAGCAGGCAACGTCTCCATCTCCCTCTCTTCTCTCTGACAGATTTCATCGCGCGATGTTGTGGAAATCCGCTCGGGGGCTTGTCAAACCTCCGCGAGCGGCGACGTCGGGTACAACTAAAAGTGACGGCACCAAATTGCCGTCCCGTCTCTCAGCTGTATGCTTCCCTCCGTCATGCGCTTTCCCTGGCCTAGAGGCGGCCCAAAGAGGGCCGCCTCAGGCCTCCGTGAAGTTTACAAAGGTCGAGGACTTGCAGTAAGCAGGAGCTCAAAAAAGCACAACCGTCCCCAGTGAACACAGGGACACACAGCGCGACACAGCGTGACAGCGCGTAGACATAGTGGCAGTAGTGACTAGTGCCAGTACAGTAGATCTACTACAGTACAGACTGCAGTACTAAACTAAAGTGTCCTCCACCTTGTTTCATGCTGTCAATCTAACAATAGTAGATCTACAGAGTACAGACTTACTCTCAGTAGATCTAGTACTAGTGGCACAGCACGGACGTGTGGCAGTGCAACCAGACCCGATGTTGCACGACTCACTGCAGTCTCCAAAACTCAAAAGTCATGTAGATCTACTGATGTAGGCCTACATCTAGTACTGGACTTGTCGGCATGCCCGTAAGATACTGTAGATTGTAGTGCAGGCCACATCAATGTCATCATGCACTGACTGAGTCTGTGATATCTGCCTTGCCTGCATATGCGGAGTTTTTGCTATGCAAGCGCACATGGTCATTGTATCGGGCAGTTCAGAGCTGGTATATGCGCATGTACATGTACGTATGCATGGCAGTGATTTGCTGGAGATATGGGTAGTCTCTGTGTGCAGCAACTAAATTTTTGGCTTCCGCCAGAGAGCTGATTTACGCTGGTGTCGTCGACCCTTGCGAGGCACGGCGGCGATTTCGCTCCACCGTGCCCACACATAATCATTAGAGGATCTCAGCTCTGGCCTCTCTAGGCTCTGCTGTCCTGGACACAAGCGGGTCCATGTCGTCGGGTCCGCTCTAGTCAGTGAGCGGTACAATTCTCTCCACTGTAGCAAGGGAGATAGTAGCAACTCGCTAACAAGCTAAAGCGAATCATGGCGCAGCCTCGCTTGGAGGATCGCATACGCGTGAAAGGCCAGAAGCTGTTCGATGTTCTCAAAGATGCTGTAACGGTACGCTTCACCGTCGACCGGAGGACTATAGAGAAGGCTTGGAAGCTAATGGAGCGAGTGGTGAAATTATGCAATAGTCCTCGCTTGAACATGCGAAGCAGCCCGCCGTGCATTTTGGACATTCTACCCGATACGTACTCCCACCTTCGCCTTATTCTTAGCAAGTGTGATGACAACCTGCAGGCACTCAATGACTGTCTGTATTTCCGAGTTTTCATCGAGAACCTCATCATCAAGTCCAAACAGGCTGTCCAGCTCTTCAAGGACGGCAGGGAACAAATGTACGACGAAGCGTCTTCTTACCGCCGCAGCTTGACGAAATTAGCGTTGATTTTCAGTCATATGTACTCGGAGCTGAAAGCCCTTTATCCTGGGGGTATTTTCAAGGGCGAGACGTACCAAGTGACCAAATCTGATGCAAGCGACTTCTGGAAGAGCAATTTCCCGCATAAGGTCATCGTTGGATGGCGCGACTTCAAGCAAGCTTTCCACCACGTTCACCCCATTCACAGCAGCCTGGAAGCCATGGCCCTCAAGTCCACTGTGGATCTGACATGCAATGACCATGTATCCAAGTTTGAATTTGATGTGTTCACGCGCCTGTTCCAGCCCTGGGCCACGATTCTGCACAATTGGAATTGCCTGGCCGTCACCCACCCGGGCTACCAGGCGTTCCTGACCTACGACGAGGTCAAAGCGCGACTGGAGCAGTTTGTGGAGAAGCCGGGAAGCTATTTGTTCCGCCTAAGCTGCACACGACTCGGCCAGTGGGCTATTGGATACGTAACTGCCGACCGTCACATTCTGCAGACCATACCGCAAAACAAGTCGCTCATCCAGGCATTGATCGACGGCAGCAAGGAAGGGTACTACCTGTACCCGATGGGTCGTCTTGACAACCCAGATCTGACCAAGGACGTGCAGCCGCAGCCGGAGGACCACATGCAGGTGACGCGGGAGCAGCATGAGCTATATGTGGAGATGGGCTCCACGTTCCAGCTCTGCAAGATCTGTGCCGAAAACGAGAAAAACGTGCGTATCGAGCCGTGCAACCATCTGATGTGCAACCAATGCCTAATGCATTGGGTGGATAGCGGTGGTAAGGGATGCCCTTTCTGCCGCTCCGAGATTCGCAGTACTGAGAACATAGTAATTGACCCGTACAAGCCGTCCGAGATGGCCGAAGGTATGGCCAGCAACCGGGACAGGGTCTCACGGGTCTCGCAGCCACAGCCGCCGCCGCAGCCATCGCAGCATCCACCACCAGTGCAGCAGCTGCAGTCACAAAGTTCGCAAGGCGGCGGCGCCGCCACACCACCACTACCTCCCGCGTACACCACTGTCAACCGTCAGGGTGCTGGCGTGCGCCAAAACAGCAAGGCTAGTTCTGGAGGACCACCGCTGCAGACTTCGGGCAGTGCCAATAGTCTCGGTGAGGATGCTGATGACCCCGCGCTGCAGGCAGCTATCCGTGCATCACTAGAAGAGGCTGGTGGGCAGCCTGAAGTAAGTGGCCAAACAGTTGAGAGCTGCGTTATTTTGTGCTGCTTGGCATTTCTGCATGAAAGTCGATGAACTGATACTGCGATACAGTGGAGATTGGATAAAATGGCTTCACTGCACCATTGTTTCGTGTGTTGTTTGGGGGGGGGGGGGGGGCAAAGCTCCAGTGCTGTGCAGGTGTGATTGTACAATAGTTGTTCTATGTGGATTCGGTGAATGTTATATTCAACAGGACCACCGGAAGCAGTTTTTGATTGGTCCGGCCATACCATAGACTTTCTTACATTGTGCATGGTATACTGGGTACACATAACCATGGTATACTGGGTACACATAACCATGGTATACTGGGTACACATAACCATGGTATACTGGGTACACATAACCATGGTATACTGGGTACACATAACCATGGTATACTGGGTACACATAACCATGGTATACTGGGTACACATAACCATGGTATACTGGGTACACATAACCATGGTATACTGGGTACACATAACCATGGTATACTGGGTACACATAATCTCTTCAACGGCAAACTCTGCTGGTGGCCAACAAGTTGGTCAGGTGATGACCTGACCAACCAGACCGGTTCCGACGGGCCTGTTAAAAGGTGAACCGAACATTCCTTGTTGCTGCTGCTGTCGTATGCTTACTTGTGTGCGTGTGCATGTGTTGTCGGCTGACTATTTACTGCTACTACAACAGGTTGTGGTTCAGCAGCACTATGGTCAGCCTCAGTTCCAGAGTCACCAACATCACCAGCAACAGCAGCACCAATTACGAGCGGACACGGAGGAGCTGCCGCCGCTGCCTCGGCGACCGGTGAGTAATGGCCACGCGCCGCTCAATTCCAGTCACAATTCACCTCATCACTCGCCCACTGTTTCACCTCTGCCGCAACGTGGTTCCGTCAGGGGACGAGGAAAGCCCCAACCAGAGAATCCTTTGAGCAAGCAGCCTGGAACAGTGTGTACCGGTGGCGGCGGTCCACCGAACCTACCATTGCCGCCAATTCCCAATTCAGGTAGTGGCAATGCTCCCAGCGCCCACAGAACTGCTGATGGAACTCTGAATTATGTCAAAGTGGATGTTGCCTCTAGTAATGCACGCGGCATGCAGTCCTCTCATCACAGCTCTTCTCAACACACAGAATACAGTCGCCTGGCTTTTACACAACAACAACAGCAGCAGCAAAGTACTGCGGCTGCTAACACTGCAGCACCGATGACCGGGGCTTCATCCATGCAGGCTGCTCGAAATGCAACATCTCCGACCGCCACTGCTCCTAGCAGTGCGGCGGCCAGTAGCAGCATGATGAACACTTATGATCTGCCTCATGCACGTATGAACGCTGCAGGTATGGTTGGCTTTTCAGACTCAGAGGATGAGGAGGAAGACTTAGATTTGGAGCTTGGACCACTGCCCGACTCCATGCGTCGTGCTCGGATAATGGGTGGCAGAGAGGATATGGGCGTGATGAACAGTAGCAGTGGCAGCAGCAGCAGCAGTACTGACATGCCACCGCCGCTACCCCATAAGAACAACCCACCATCCCGGCCACACTCTGATCCCGGCTACCCAAGTGAACTCTCCTCTGGTCCCAGACCCGGACCAGAGCACGCTTCTGGCGCGGGAAGTGTTGGGGTGGGCTCCAACCTGCCAGCTGCTAGCAGTCAGGCTCCTGCGCGTGGTGCCGGCGGTGGTGGTGGAAATCCATTCAGCGACAGGTCAATGGACTATGACCAGCCACTTCCGGCGGTGCCACCAACATCCCTATATGACAGACCCCCACCAATGGATGATGAGCGGCGCTTCTTCGACAACCCTCCACCAAGCATCCATCAACCAGCAGTTCGACAGCCGCTTCGCCAATCACCGCCGCAGCAGCAGCAACAGCCACCACCACCACCACCAGCGCCACAGCCACAGCAACAACAACAACAGTTACCGCCGCTGCCACAGCAGCAGCAGCAGCCACCGATGCCCCCAATCAAGTCTCTGGAAATTGAACTGCTTACGATGGGATATAGCCAACAGGACGTGAAGAAAGCGCTGGAGGTGGCAGGGTCGGATAAGGCACTGGCGCTGATGATCTTGGAGCGATTCGGCGCCACACGATCGTAAGGCACGGCACATATATCTTCTTTTGAGTTTGACTGTACATGTATGTATTTGATACAGGCCACTGATGATTGGAATGTCGTTGCTGCTGCTGCTGCTGCCATCACTCAGCAGTTGGTTTCATGGTTTGACAATGCAGCTCTGACCTTGACCAGGCCATGATGACATCACCAGTAAGACTCTCCATTTCTTTTTCGTTTTTATTTGTTGTGCTCATGCTGTGCTCTTCTGTGTTTCTGGTTTCGTTCATTTATTTTCGTATTCATCTGCAGCAGCAGCATGGCTCAAGATGTGAATTAACCCATGTCATTGTTGTCATGCTTTGTTGATATTTCAGTGTATGTCCTATCGGTTCCTATGCCCGTAGTCATAGTTAGGCACTTCCCTGTACAGTTTTTTTCCAATTTCTAACCAAACATTAGCACATCTATTTTTGCCGGACAAGGACATCACTCTCGCCCTCGAATCATATAGTGTATTCTGCGACGGCCACACGGAAGTCTACTTCTGTCAGTTTTAAGCACTTGCCCTTGAGCACCGATATGCGCCGTCACGCGTGAATTTCTTCTTGTTGGAATGTACTGCTACTTATACGACACTGCAGCTCTTCACTTCAGGATGTCCGCCTATATCCGCACGCGTTTCTTGACAAGACATACATGATTTCACGGGCGCTCGTCATGTCGCGTGCTGCTGGCCCCATTCATCTAGCCGTAACGTCTGCTTTTGCTAATCGCATGCAGTCTGGTATCAACTTTAAGATCTAGCCATCTGACGCCGAACGCACCTCTTTTCGCTCTGTATTCCTCTTCTAATACTGCCCTGTTTCCACCGTTTTCGTTTTCATTGTTTCTCCCGTTGTTTGGTTTTTTCCAGTTGTTATTCCAATACGCAATTAATCTGCCGGTGCAGGACACTTGTTCCTGCTCTCCATGCTTCCCGCCAGAGACCATTCTGAGCGGCTACTCCAATCCAGTCTGTGCTCTGCCCGTGACCTGGTGTAGAGGCGGATGGATGCTGTTGCATGCATGGGTCGGAGTGTAGTGGACGGGGAGCAGAATTTCAGTACACCCTGGCTAGCTGCAACCGGGCATACGGGTACTACCATTCGGTGTGGTGCACTTGCAGTGAGTCGGTGCAGTGTGACCGGTCCAGGTGAACAGCTAACCTTTCCACCGTACGTAGATTGGAATTATCTCAGCAAGACAATGGACTTGAGAATGTGTGTTCACGGCGCGCGTTTTGCAATCAACTCGTCACCAAAGTACGAGTTGTTCGTAGTACTCATAGATTGCCTTATGTGCATCATGAGCTGAACATAAACAACCGATGGCACAGTAGCTAGTATCAAGAGTACAGTCATACTGTTATTATGCACTCTTGGTACCATACTGGCAATATATATGGTCGCAGTGAGGCCATGAAGCGTTACATTGGCACATGTTTACCGCACGCAGGGCGTTACATGCAAAGTCGCACAGGAGCCGTTACACAGGTTTCTATATTGCCGCAGTCCTTTTTTTGCTATTGCAGGACTTCCTGCTGCGTCCAGTTTTGAACTTTTCACCACGCGGTACACGTGCTTTCACAGTCTTCAGCCTTTTTTGCAATGAAAAGATCGCCGCACCCCGCCGGGCGCGCGTTACGAACGCAACGAAAATTTGTCGCACTAGCCTGGTCGCGCGTTACGCCGCACCCCCCTGCGTTACGCGGCAACATATATTGCCAGTACGGTAGTATGGATAAGCCAATGTGCAACCATGAACGGCATGAAAATTAATGAACAATGCACATCAACGGATCGTAACTAGGGGCCAGGGACAACCAACATGTGCCTTTGGGTGAGCATAATTTTCACTCGAAAAAGAAAACATTGCGGATTGATTTTCACCGCACCCAGAATTTCAAGCGCAAGGAAACCAAAATGATACAACAGGCTTTTGCTCTTGGATGAAACATTCCCATTCGAATCGAAAGCATGCATCTGCAGTCCCTGACACACCCATAACTCTTCGCTACAAGATGTTGCCCCTGGCCCATATTGCCACAAAGCCAGCTAGCAAGGTCATGCATGTCCCTGGCCCATATTGCCACAAAGCCAGCTAGCAAGGTCATGCATGTCCACCTGTGATCTGGTGTACAGCTGTTCTGTGATTCCTCTGCATATGAGCAGAGAGTCCCTGGGCAGTGCACCATCTACACATACATGCACATGTTCACTTTGTCCATATGTGCACACAAACACACACACGTACACATTGTTTCTTTTCACCTGAACGGTAACGAAATACATTAATGGACCGGGTTCAGATGTGCAGGGTTGTGGGAATAGCCACCGTTCTTCCTATACAGATGAAGCTAAAAAGAAGCCTCAGCACTTCCACACTTCCACTGTTAAAAAAGAATGAGCGATGCAAAAAAAGAAGACATACTGCACACAAGTGTATGACACTGAGCTGCTCAGTGTTGCTGCAAAGAAGCCAACTGGGCACACGTTTGCTTGGCACAGGCAGAAGAAAGCAATTAACACAGAACTGCCTGGCGAGTTCTGTGCAAGTTCAAACCATGTGAATTGCGATCATCATCTTACTGATCATCAGTGGACTCTGCTTTCACCGTGACTCAATCCGAGGTTCGACGGCTACTGTGCAGCACTGACGCGTGCTTGACTGCTATGGTGTGCGCAAGAGCTTAACGGGGCTGAGTCAGCGTGACGTGAATTGTTAATTGCACTTTTAAAATAGCGCCGTCGGCTATCGGCAACATGACAGCAAAATTCATGTCTTGCCAGAGATGAAGAGCAAACAGCAAAGATCTCGATGCCAGCTCAAGAGACAGTTGTTAGTGGCTGTGCTCAAGGTCACTATGGCGGTGCATGGATGTTTTGAGACTGATGACCAAGATCTGGCTGTGCATGGATGTTTTGAGACTGATGACCAAGATCTTCTGCATCTAGCGGCATGCAAGCATTCTCTATTCTTTCACTCCAGCCACTGCTGCTGTTGTCGCTGTTGTCGCTGCTGCTGTGATCATGTCGATGCGCAGAAGATTACTGCTCAGCACCTGTTCACTAGCTCTCGTCACAGGTCAGATGCTCTGTAAGTCACTCCACATCCAACCAGGTCACACTCTGAGGCGGTGGTGCTGCTGACTGCTGTGTAAATGCTCACCTGGTGTTGTAGAACAGTTACACAATCATTGTCTCCGCATCAACAATGCCAAAGTCAGCAAGCATTCATACCATTGGCATGTGCACCCATGGCATGACGTTCTTCCAAGGGTAGATCCATGTTGCTGCAGTTCCCTAGGGTTACGAGAGTAGTCATGCAACCTGACCTGCTTTCATCATGGACTACTCATGTCACATGACCTGCTTACATCATGGACTAGTCATGCCAAACGACCTGCTTACATCATGGACCAGCCATGCCACCGGCACACATGTCACCTACTCACATCACGGTATAGCAGTGGACGGAGCCTGAAAGCTGAAATAGCACCACTCAAAGCGCAGTCTCCGGATCAACGCCATCTTGTAACATCCTCTCCTGTTCCTTCCGCTGACGGAGCAATGCGCCATACACATGCCCTAGCGTCCAGGATTCTTGCCTCAGGGCATTGTGATGGGTGAAACGGGTAACCCGTAGACGTTGAAGAGTACGCACATGTGCAACAGTATCCATGTCTGCGTATGAATGAGACAGTGATAGAGAATGGGGCAGACAGCGATCATCAAAAGAGCCAATCCATCAAGTGGAAAAAAACTACTGGGAGAGTTTGAAACACAGCTAGTTCGGTAAACGCCTGCACAGCTACAATGTGTACATCTAGCAGTGAAATTCTAGTGCATGTGTGTGTGTGTGGTGTGTGTGTGTGCACGCGTGCAATGATTCATTCATACTCCTTATGGTGCTGTAGAGTAGAACCCGGGTTAAGGGTCACACCGGAATAGGGATTGGAGCCCAGGGGGGGGGGGGGGGGGGGCACTTGGCACGTACATTGTGCGGGTGATCCTTCGGAGCCCGGGAGGGGGGGGGGGGGGGCACTTGGCATGTACATTGTGCGGGTGATCCTTATACCGGGATTTAATTTCCGGCCCAAGGGGGTCCCCCGTCGGTTTCCGAGGAAGCCGTAATTTTTTTCGCTCCAAACTATTTTTCCGGGGTCCATCTACTCACAAAAAGTCGTTTTGCACACCGTTTTGCCCATCCCTATACAACTGAGTCCAGCAATGTCCGCGCAGAGTTAGGTGGATCCCTAACCCGGGTTCTACTCTACGTGTGTGGATTCCTTAGCTGACAGCATAAACTATAATTATTTGTATCAAAAACTGAAGGTAGCCTAATGCAGACAGTATTAAAAATCCAGTTCTAGTAGCTTGGCACCACCGACTTAGCAACATCATGTAGACACAGACATTATGCCACTGCACACACGCACGCACGCGCGCACGCACCCACACACACACACACAAACACACACACGCACACACGGCAGCCATAAGACCCCCTCCCCCCCCCCCCCCCCATACACACACACCCAACACTTCCCATCCCCGTCTCCATCACCACACTGATGAACACAATTAATACTAGGCAATGGCCGGGGGTATGCCACACAGCATTTAGAGTCGCCATTGCAGCACAGAAAAGAAGGAAGAAGAAGGAAGAAGAAGAAGCAGCAAGACAGAGAAGCAGGACAATGCCCATACAGTACATGTAGTTGCACAGCTTACTTTCGGCAATGTCATACACCAGACTGCGCACGTATGTTCCACTGTTGCACGTCACACCTGAAAATAATAATATCCAATAGCGAAATAGAAATCGAGCAGAATCTGAATAGATCAACAGGGAGTCCAGGGTTCTAGCCAAAGGGGGGGTAGGTATGTGTGTGTGTGTGGGGGGGGGGGGGGGGGGGCTACTTTGATTGCCCCCCCCCCCCTTGTGAAAAAGTGCCCCCTACTCATTTGTCCATTTTTGGGTGAAGTCGTAGGTTCGCCCCATATGTTCCATTTTGCATGGCAAGACAATATTGAAAAATGGAAAAATGGGTTACGGGGTAACTGTTTCCCCTGCCCACACAATGAATTACCGAATAATTAAAAGGAGTGTGATTGGCATGATGCCACTGTATGAGACCATAGAGATACTGAGTCTTAGCACTGTCTTACTCACTGATGGTAAAGAAGGGAGGCTCAAACTTGAGCAATTGAATGTCGCTGACATGCCGTTCTCGTGCTTCAGGTCGTACATCTACCCCGGAACGATTCAAATCAGAGAAACGCACACCATCCTTCTTGAGAGCAGAATACCTATTATGAGCGTCACAAAAAGCCAAAAAGAAGTAATGAACTTGATGGGGTTGGAGAACTTCAAAATGATTAATCAATGCAAACAGTCAGGGAAGTGAACTGCCAGAAACGTGAGAGAAAAAAAATGGTACGGAAACGCCTTGATGCCGAACACTAACCACTGGAACTTGTAGAAACGCGAGTCCCACACCAAGCGGTGATATCGGCGGTCTTCTTCTAACGTTACTAGCACGACTTGCAGGATCATCTCCGTAATGTTGGCCGTGAGAATCCCTGGAAGCTGGTCAACAACGCCAAGCTCTGCAGCTGCTGCTTGGAATGTGTGGGCACTGGGCGTGTCTGTGCCAGAAGGACGGATGTCAACGTGGACAGCGGCAGCACGCACTGCTGCATTACACCAAGTCGACGCAACCTCCGGCGAATGCAGTGCAGACACAAGCTGCAGCACAGCAACCTGCTGCTGCGAGCAACAGTGGCCGCCAGCATCCGTCACTTTGGCAGCAGAGCTCTCACCATGCCGGTGTGTGCCTCAGATGACGACTGCCTTTACTACCGTGCTAGTCACTGAATATTGCTGGGCGGACCGGCAAGTCATCTATCTGCGTGGTCATGCTGGACCCGGGCTCGACTGCAAGTTTCATACGGAGGAGGATGTAACGCACAAGTAGGACATGGCAGGTGAAGGTCTGGTGTTTGAACACGTCCACGACTGGTGAACAGCAGACTTACGGCCACCGTGAACTGGTGAAGATGCAGATCGAATGAAGAGCCATTGATGTCACAGCGACGTAACCGCTCAAGGCGTGGGTCTATGACCGTGTGACCAAGAGGATGCAAGTGGTCGACTGGAGCATGTACAACACACAGCTATGAGCACCTGAAATTCATCGGCTTTCCAGAAGTTTCCACTGTCGAAATGCTGATTGGTCTCGACGTGGTTGGCGTCCATGCACCGCGAGTATGCAGTTGCCGGTGGGTAGCTGGCAAGGTTCACATTCAAAATTACTTCACACACTCCTTCTCTCCTACAAGGGATTTGGCAAGCCTTGTTTCAACAAGGCAGAGCAAAGACAACCTGGAGCAAAGACAACCTGGAGCAAAGACAACCTGGAGCAAATACTTCAAAGTAAGTACAGTGCTGGACAGAGAAATCCAACCTCGTGAATAAAGTAGTGCCGCGTTCGAGTGCACAGACCAGTGTGTGTAGTGCTAGGGCTGCGTACCGCCCGACGCTACTTAACGTAACTTTATTCATGAGGTTGGATTTCTGTGGCCAGCACTGTATATAGCAGCACATGCACGTGTACTTCTCTCACGCTGGTGGCCTCTGCATGATCTTGCCCAGGAACTTGCTCTGGAGCACTTCACGAAGACCTTCAGCAGTGACATGATCTTCACACACACACACAACATAAGCAACGAGACAAAGGAGATAAACGCAATACAAAGCTATAAATTATCTAAACAAATGGCAAGGAAACAATAATTTGCAAATAATCGACGTGGAGGCAACAATTTTATAATAGCAATAAAGAGAACAAATGACTGAAGAGTAACCATGCTGAACAATGATTAAATATACATTCAATAATGTGTTACGAGAACAAAATAAAGTGCTAAAATAGAATGAGGGAAGGTGAGACAATAGAAGTGAAGTGAGATTATTGAATGTATATTTAATCATTGTTCAGCATGGTTACTCTTCAGTCACGACTTTCCACTGATGAATGTGACAAGAAAATCAATTTTGGTAAACTTTCATGACTTCGTTGTAGTGTGGCGATGACAGCAGAATTTGTTCTCTTTATTGCTATTACTTCGAAGTATAAAACAATAATTTGACAACCGCAATCTATAAGACAAGCTTGTCTTATAGATTGCGGTTATAAAATTAAATTATCTGTGCGGATTTGTTATTACCCTGAAACTACGAGCAGCAACGTAATGGAGTCTTATCGCGATTGTCTCAGCCGATGTAGTGCAGAAACACAGCATACAGAAGGTTCAAACCCTTTCGGAACTCAACACGACTTTGTTTACCCTACTACGGCTGTGCTCGGTGAAATCCGACCAAAAGTGCTGTCGCTGTCGCCCTGGACCAGTTCCGATTGCATCATTGTATGCGTACATGTGTACGTCCAGTCGTATTCGTGCCACTTCCAGGACGTCATGGGGGTCGGGGGAACGTCAGTGTAACCATCGCAATATGACCAACATACAATGGACGCACGCACGCAGCGTGTACACACGCATGCATGTGCACACACACACACACACACACACACACACACGCACACACGCACATACACACTCAAGAATGTGAGCGGAAGGAAGCAATCAAAGATATGGCGCACATGCATGAACATACTGTACACTGTAGTAGACTACAAAAGGAATCCCAGGGTTGCAAAGCAAGTTGCTGCAACATACCATAAGGTGCCCTCCTGGTCTCAGCTCCAAGCGGGTCATACGTGTCGGTGGCAACTCCTAGCTGCCCACAAGCAACGTATTCCTGCAGGCGGAGAACGAGAAAATCAAACACCAATTGAACACCACCCTTTACTATGCTGCAGAAAGGAGCGCAACGCTACAAACAGAGGGAGATAACAAATAAGACGAGTGAGAGCAGGCAAGGGAACGTGGAGCTTCTTCAGTCGCAAGTGTCTTTGAGAAGTCGACAAGAAGACAATACATCTTATACAGTTATCAATAATATGATAATTATGTGCAGTCATTTCATACATGTATTATACACACAACATCACTTATTTATTTATCTATTTTCAAAGTAAGGTGAGCCACCATTCACTGTAAGCACTCACATAATGAATGTTGTCAAAACAACTTATTCGCCTGTTCGAAATCAAAAACAACTCGTTGCTCAGCAGGACTTTGGAGATGGCCCCATGTAGGAATTGTACCGGGTTGTGCAAAGCGGGGCAGTTGAGCTTGGTGAGGTTGCTCGTGTATATTAGCAACCCTGCTCGTGTACCGGTAAGTTAGACCATGCTTACTTCGATGTACTTGATGGAAGCCATGGGGCGGGGGCTGCTATTGCACTATTTATGCAACATAGCCAGTTTATTGCACATGCGCACGTTCGCACAATGTTCTGAGGAGGGTGTGATTGTATTGTATAACCTCCGGCTTCAGTCAAGGGTACTGCACTAGATACCCGGCGTCGAGAAGAGTGCCGAGGACAGGAAACATCAGGACAATAAACAGCCCAGTTACCTTTGTAGAGGAACTCTGATTTAGATACTGTAGCTGTTTAGTCCCATCACCGAATCCGATGACTGTACACAGGCATAGAGAAGCATAGTAGGGATCGCTTAGTTATCAGAACTACAGACATATGCTCTGCTCTGGTAAACTCGTATAGTGTGTACATGTACTGAGGTAGCACCAGTTCTTGCTACATGTACTTCAAAAGTACATTAGATTCACATCATCTCTACTGCAAGTCAACAAATATTCGGCGCATACCCGTATTATCTCCCTTATAAACACGGTACTTATATTTTTTCAACCCATCTCGCACCCGTGCTTATAGAGGAGACCGTGATAATACTGGAGACCGTGTTAATATTTTTTCAACCATGAAACAGTCAAGAAAGTTGCACACCGGTAACACACTCAAATTGGAATTTAACTCAGATTTCATGATTAGAGAACAGAGAGAAGAAAATTTTTTGATGCGGAAGTGTAAGTCATGCACGTGGAGCACTTTGCTTTTTTTAGCTCTGGAGTACGAGTTTGAGTACGTACGCGAACGCGTCCGCCCGCATACGTCATTTCAAGGTAAGCGCATGCGCAGAGCTGCATTCCAGTATTATCACTGTGACTATGTTGGAGACTGTGCGTTTGTAATCTCAACAGCCCTCCAGCCTGTGCTTATAATGGAGACTGTGCTTATAATGGAGACCTGTGTTCATAAGAGAGATAATACGGTATTTATTTTCGGCTATTTTCGGTCTGGTCATATTTGGCTAAAAATTTGTTGCGGCCAAAACTTTGTTTTGCAAGGTTCCGTGTGACAGTGTATACAGCCGGCAGCAGTACAGGCCGAAAATTTGATGCCGCCGAAATGGGTTTTAGCCCTGGGAGGCCGAAATTTGAATGGGCCGAAAATTTGCAGACTTACAGTACACCACAGCTAGGCTGGACATCATATTGTGTACCATATTTCACCGGTTAAAAGTCGACCTCTTAATGACCTAAAAACCGGCCTAAAAAGGGGTACTGTATAAGCAGAAAATTTCGGCGGTCAATAATTTCGTCCAACTCCAAAGAAAGGGAGTTCGTCCGGTTGTAAATTTCGTCCATGGATCATAAGAGTGTTTTGAAAAGCTGGACAAATCAATATTAGTCCGGCATTTAATTCAGTCCAACAGCTCGTTGGACGAAAAAGACGAAATTAAATTCCAGACGAATATTTCTGCTTGTACAGTAGTTGACTTACAACTGGGGTATAAATGCCCTTAAAGGGGAAGTCCGGTGAAAAATTTAAATTTCAGGGTCGGTAGAGTTTTGGGCGCTGAGTCGAATGGTGTTGGTCCCACGTGTCTCTGACAAAGCGTTCTCGAGATATTTCCGTTTGAAAAACTGAGTTTCGGGGGCTGCGCCATGACGTCATGCAGCCGCGCCACACCCTCCGCAACGTCATAGCGTGCAGCTAGGTCAAAAGGAGTGTGTAAAAGCAATAGTGTCAGTGCTATTTCAAATGATTTGGCGACTGATATTAGGTGGTGCAAGCGACCCCGAAGACCTAACTCCTTGTGAGAGTGAGGATGCAGCCATGGCTGACCTTCATGAGTTTGGTCTGGGGCTGAGAACCTCGGTATTCAGCTGAAGAAATGGCCGCGCGGGCCGGGCCGGTCAAGAGTGAGCGCTACTGAGTTTCCGACTGATGAAGAAGCAGCAGCTATTGCAGACGAGGCTGATATAATTATCGCTGGAGAGCAGGGTTGCCAAAATGGAGAAGAGTGATGCGAGTACTCTAAATGTTGTTCCATACCGATTCGCTTAGACTCCAGTAGCCTGCCACATGGTGATGTTTTGGTGCGAACTAATATTTCGGACTACTCAATTGGAGAACAGTGCAGGCTCTTTGAACCACGGGCACGGCTCTTCGCTCGCAACGCTATGGAATCTGAAAGTTCTAGGTCCGGGAGCTGTTCGCTGTTTTGTCACTTGTCACGGTTGTGCACTCATCGCTGTAGCATAAAATAATGAGGCGGGACTGGAGCGGAAAACTAAAATTTTCTTTCTCAAAGCACAACCACCGGCACCGGCAAGGAGAAACGCACGTTCTCTGACTACATGAACTGATACGAGTGTAGTACATGACAAGTCTGTGTGTTGACTAGTTTTCTGAGTCTTGTTGTAGCTACCCCAGCACGGCAGTGCGGGAGTAGTTCCGTGTGTGATGAGTTTGTTGACTGCACTACTGTACAGCTAGCATGCACGCAGCGCATTGCTAGAGCCGTAGAGGCCATTGCATGCTGACGGAAAAAGTCCAACTCGGAGACGGCTAAAATACGGTATAACCTCGAGGTTTACCGAGCTGAAAATCACGGGGTACGTAGTGTTTGTAACACTGAATCGGATGGTCTTGGTCCGAAGAAGCTGCGACAAACGGTTCCCCAATCGAACGCGCTCCGAATATGGCCATTTTGTACACAACTAGATGGTGTGGCTACCTGGCTGCACGCTGCGACGTCATCACCTGGATCTGGGTGATGTGCGCTCAAATTCGCGCATGTTCGATTGGGCGTATCTGACGAACCATAGACCGCAGCCTCCTCGGACAAAGACCATTCGACTCAGCGACCCGAACTCTACGGTCTGTGAAATTTAAATTTTTCACCGGACTTCCCCTTTAACCCTTTGGAACTGCACTGATCACACGACGTCGGGAGATAGCTGCAATTGCAAGTATATTCGTTCCAATTTCCATCATAACGCTGGTTCTACTTCACCGATTTTGACGATCTTGGGCTCGTTGGAAAGCTCTTGGAACGAGGATAACAGCAAGCCCAAACTCATTCAGGAGAGCGATTGCTGTCTGCTACTGAATGCCAGGAACGCCAGCTGAATACCAAATCCAAACTGGGAATAGTCCTTGTCTCGCCATTTCACTCGTGCTAGCTCAAAATCATTCAAATTTTTTCTAACAGACTCACAAAAGCCGTGACAAAAAGCGCTGGGAGTGATGTCACACGCTGCGTGGGCAGGAAGAGGGAAAATCCCACTTTTGAACGAAATTTGCACTTCGCTGACGCATGAAAAATCGAGCGAACGTTCGAGCACTTGCCGCTCTGTTATACTAGCTCGTATCGACCCCGGAGTTTTTCGAGCCGACAGCTTAGATTCTCTGCTACCTCGTAGGTATTTCGATTGTTGAATTCGGTTGAGATTTGACTGAGTTGTGACTCGTTCAGTGCACTTGCACACATGACATTGGCATCGTTCGAATTCGAACGATCACCTCCAAAGGGTTAAATCGGTAAATTGAGGCCCCAAGTTCGGAGGTCAACTTATGACCGGTTAAGTACGGTACTTATTAGCCTGCTTCACACTACACGTAGGTGACATACCCAAAACGCCTTCCGCGAACGAGTCCAAAGTACCGCCGTGGCCAACTTTACAGTTCGCACCAGATGGCAAGCTGCACAGACAACGTGAAGAAAGAACAAGGTCTAGGATGCAAAACAGATGTACTTCATGCCTTGCTTGGTAGCTTGAGCCTACACGGCCATATGCAGACACCAAATACAGTAAAACCTGCCCTAACCGGATGCCCTTGGTGCAGCGGAAAGTGTCCTGATACGACATGGACTCCTCTTGATCCAGGGATGCACATTCGACACTCGTATCTCTCTTACCCGAACCTCGAAGTTACGGGCGCCTCGGCCCACCGGACGCCCTGTGGGCGAGTTTTAGTGGAAATATTACTACTCTTTTGCCAATGTTTGTGGAAATAGTGATGTCATATGCCAGATCTCTGGCCCTTCCCCATTGAAATGTATGTGATTCAGAGTTATGGGCAGTACTCGATTCCGAACTGCCCGGATAAGAGAGATACGAGTGTACAGTGTATGGTTGTAGTCAAGTACAAAGAATCATCAGAGGACGCGATTCATTATACAAGCCAGCAGGTGTGGCTCATCCTCCGGGAGAAACAAAGAAAAAATATACCTGGTAAATTGTCGTGTATGGTAGAAGCATGAACATGACATCTCCTGCCCGAGCCAAGTGACCCAGTTCCTATCTTTACTCTGTGTTCTTTTGGCAATCGTAGGTCAGGCTGTGTGGTAAGTATGTGGTACCTCATTTCGTCCGACAAGCTCGGACAATCGTTCCAGGAGTTCTTGGGATGTTAGCTCTATTGCATCTGTATCTGCATCTCCGCACTGAAAGAGTTCATGATCGTATTCATAGATGTTTTGAATTATTTACGGATAGATGGTTGTTTGTGCTGGAGTGACATTCCAAATATAACACCTGGAATTGGGTACATGAAAACTAATAGTAGTGCCTCAGTCCAGTGCAACAAGCTCCAGCAGGCATCTGTAGGTGGACCATGCTAACATGCCTTGCAGCATAAGTCATGAGACAATCCTCCTGAATGTTCAGCTCTACAACGGGCTTACAACTGGCCTTTCCACCTTCTTGCTGTTGTTTATTTATACCAATACAACCACTAGGAGTGACCAGGGGGAAGCTCCCTAAACTGAATGGGCAACTACTTATGTTGACACTACGAGAATACACAATACGCACGTAAGATTATCACCTGGCTTCATGATGTTTCAAGACCATATTCTTCAGTAGCTCGACGACTTCTGCCGACCTCAGTCCCACCGGCTTCCATACTGGTAGCAGTCCAGACCATGCATGAGGAGAACGAGCCATCACGAACAAAAGTACAGCACTAAGCTGGCAAAGGCCAGATATAAAGAAAAGTGCTCACCACGTAATACTGTACATTTCTTAAGACATTGCTTTTTTCAAATTTCAAAAAATTAATGATTTCAAATCTTTGCATTGTCTGAACCCAGCCAAACAGACAAAGGTGTGTACATGTATTGGTAAAGGGTTCCATCAAGAGTACATAAACCAAGTTTATGTACTCTTGGTTCCATGCTATCCGCAGCTAACTCCTGACAGGGGTCTACAAACAGGGAGACCTTCACCCGGGAGCTATGCACTCTTGCTGGTATCCGGCAAGATTACTAGTAGAACATCGCCACTTCCACGAGCCTGAATATAGACAGTATGCGCATGCGCGCGCGTACACGCACATGCACACACACGCACACACACACATGCACACACCTGGCCTGGTGTACAGCTGCCAAATGCTTGGCCACGCCGCCCCCGAGACAGGGGAGAGAGTTGCACTGCTACTAGGAAGCCGCTCCGCCACGACGTCGTCCGCGATTGCAATTGTGTCGCCGAAAGCCAGGAGAAGATTCAAAACAGCGATCACAGGTAGCGCAGTGCTGGTTGCAACACGAATGACTGGTGATTGGTATGCGCTGATGCCCCGGCGGACACACACACACACACACACACACACACACACACACACACACACACACACACACACACACAGTATCATTGAGCTGGATAGGAATTACTTCAGTGCATCATCAACGTGGCAGGCAACATGACAGACAACCTGGCAGACACCAGCTATGTCCTGAAAAACAAAATAACGAATAACGAAGGTGACTTTTTCACATCATTCTGTGAAACGGTTAGAAGACAATAGAGCAAAAATTAATATAAAAGAAAATAACTCGTTTTCCCTATGTGCACAATGCGGAAATTAAAGGAAGAAAAAAGCTGACGACATGCCTATCCAGTAGAAAAACACTGCATATTGCACATCAATAGGTAATTTGAACAACTGCTATCTCAGAAATACACATCATGACTGTAAGCTAACGTTATAAGGATTGGAATAAAGTTCTCATATGAAAAAAGGGGGAAAGAAATTCAAATAAAAGGAAGAAAACTGAAACGGACAAGGGCATTCTCAGACCGTCTACGATAGGACTATTTTACATGACAATGCGAGGCTCCACTACTGACACTCCGATGTTCTTGTGAGGGAGAATGATGCCGCCATTGATGAAGAGTTCGTCCTGGATAATTACGTCCTCGCCTAGTACGCTGATGTTCTCCATGCGAACCTGTGCAAAAGAAGAACAAAAACAGGAACAAAAAAAACTGAACTCAGATACAAGTACAAAGAAGAAACAAAACACCAATTAAATATTGGGTAAGCAGAGACTTCGGCTAGCCATCAAGTGAATACTGTACACTGCTGATGCAGAGCATATCTTCACATGAAGAGCTGAGTTGCAAAACCCGATAAACGCCAAATTTGAGAAAAATGAGATTTTCAGCTCAGTGTAATCAAAAGGTTGAGAGGCACCACCAGGCAAAATTTCACATCGAAATCTACCTACAACCATTTCAAAACTGGAACCCAAATTTGGATTTAGATACCAACAGCACATAAAATGAATCCTTTCTTGGCCATTACCCGAAAAGGGATGAACTGGATTTAGCGGGTTTTGCATCTCAGCTCTTCACATGTACAATGGACTTCCAATACAATATGTTCCCTGAATAGTGAATACCATACACACTTTTTTATACTAAACCAAACAGTCTAAGAAAGGGGTTCAACTTACAATCGAGTAAAGGCTTACCACCAAAGTGAACACACTGGAATCTTACGACAGAGACCCGAAAAGTGTAGGCATGACTTAGAATCTGCAAAAAATACGGTGTATATTATGATGCAGAACACAGCAGGCAGTTTTCCCTGGACTTACCCATTTGCCGACACACGAGCGCCAGCCGATGATGCTGCTCTTGAGCCATGAGTGAGACTTGACGCGAGCACCTTCTAATACCGTGCACCTGGATATGCATGCGCCTGAATAAGGACACATCGTCATAGAAAGTAAATAGCGGAGATGATAAAAGGGAAAGGTTTAGTTGCTCTCTCTCTCTCTCTCTCTCCCTGCATGAGAAACTCTCTAGATATGACATGATACATGGCTACTGTACAACACTTTCATAGCCCTTCCGCTCAGTGATACCTAACTGTCAAGTCACTTTCAGTGGCCCATGTGCTATGCCGCAAGCTACAGGAATGACTAGAAAATGAGAGTGCACTGTGCTTTCACTGTCAACGTAGGCAGTGACACAACATTCACAGCACACAGTTGAAGAATAATCTATTGAAGTACCAATACTTTAAAGCACACAGGATACTAGTACACATTCCAGCCACTGACTGACAGTGACTAGAAAGTAGAAAACATACCATCATCAACAACCACGCCAGGTCCAATGACAACATCGGGACCGATGCGACATTGACTACCGATCTTCGCACTTGGGTCCTACAGACAAACAAGCAAGATGAACAGACACGCGCACATATACAAACATACACACAGTGACACAAAGGTGGAATTATAGAAGGTGCTCCACGTCACAAGCTTAGAACAATGGTTTTCCGCTGCTAGTGATAATACCAATAGTGCATAAACAAGAATATGCAACTGTGGTTATGGGTCCATGCGTGGTGCGCCGCCTTCATTACGTAACTTGCCTCCATCACGCTCTGAAAGCATGCACTCAAACCCACAATCCGTACGAGCACATTCGTTTTTGCTCGATTCATTCCAGTACCTTTGCGAACTCTAAATTTTGGCGCGTGAATTCCAGTTCCGTAGGAAAGTTCATGGAAAGTGCGGTGTTTGATTTTCCGCAGTGCGCGGACTGCAGCTGAATGGTGTAATGAAGGCAGCGCGCGCGCGCTGCACATCTGGCCCATAGAAAAGAGATCACAGTTGCATACTCTTGTTGGACTATTGATAATACAAGTAGAGTGTAGCTACTTTTAGCATATTCAGCAACTGTACACAAAAAGAAATTTCAAGATTTGGAGTCACCAAAAATCAAATTGCTGCGGAGCGGTCAGAACTGAGCTTTGGTATCGAGCTTTGGTAACATTCAACATGTCCTGCTAGGACCAAGTCAAACATTGTTAGGGGCCGTCCAAGGTTACCAATAATATTTTCAAAACTAAAAGTTTTCGTTTGGGGGGTGGTTGGGTTTGATGGAGTTTCGTTTTGAAAATAATTATTGAATGCAAATGGAGAATGCCCAGTTACTTCTGGGTGTTGAAAATTGACATCAATATTTTTGTAGGAATTCGTTTCACCTGCAGAAAAGGTGGGTGGGTGGGACTGAAATATACTAAAACTTTTCGTTTTGTAAAAACAATTGGTAACCCTGGACGGCCCCTTACGTCAGATTATAATATATCAGTGTTGCCCTGCATGCAATCATTAACACTTCACTGCAGAACCATTTTCATGCAGTTTGAAGCAGTTTGCACAAGACAGCTGAAGGCTGCAGGGGTTCGTACTGAAGAAGAAAGGGACATTTTAGCCATTCTAAGTCATAACATGCTTCTATAACATCCAGATCCCTTACAGCAGCAAGTCCAATAAGAAAGGCACGTACCACAAGCACATTCCCTACGACACCTTCACCACTGTATAGTCGATCCGGGGAAAGCTGACGAAGAGAGCCGAGATACATACACATTCCCGTCAGGAAGTCTTTCGGTTGTCCAATGTCCATCCAGAATCCTATGCCGAAACACAATAGCCAGTGGACAGCACAGTACATTGCAGTGTTCCTATATAAAAGCTTACCCACAGTCAGGCCACTCACAGACCACCAAAAGCCATAGTTCTTTCTCAAACAGTGCATATGGTTAGATGAGAAGGCAGAAAGCTAACACAGAAAACTACCTCCGTACCATCAAGTTCCATAGCATACAGGTTGTTGTCCTGCGCCATTACAGGGAAGATCTCCTTCTCAATAGAGGTGGGTCGAAGCTGGGCAAGATATCAAGATATCAACACAACCGAGTCATAACAAAGCCATGAAACAGATCATAACAAGAAACCACCTCACTGCAACACCCTAACTCAGATCATAGCCCAAAGAGACTGCAAAACCGGGACCTTTTAAATACAACAACTACTGTCGAGTTGCTCAGCCTTTCTGCACTGAACGTATAGACAAAAAGGGAGACAAGTCATTCGAGTTGTATCCGGTAGATTTTTTAACCACAGCTAATCGCAGATCCAATGTCAAAAGGTGAATAAGTGCTGTCTATGACGTATAATGTCCACAACTTTCTTGGCTATGACTTACGGTTGATTCAAATAATGGCCGCACATACACACCTGGCAATATGGTGGTAAACACACGCCTGCCCACATACGCTCTCTAGGCTGCAATGTTATTCTGGCACAGAGCTCTCCTTTTCACTACTACCACCAGTTCGCCCCTGGCGCCTAGTCACTTTGTATGACTTACATACAAAAAAAGAGAGAACATAATTATTTTAAAGAGAAAAAACTCTGACGGTTCAGTTCTGGTGGACCTTGGGTGTCATCGATTGGCGAATCTGGATTGAGTGTGAGCAGGCGGTGTGGTCCGAGCAACGCTGGCCCAATCGAACAAAACAAGGGTGCAGTACGCAAAATGTACGCATATCGTACAAAGATTCTGTGAAAGCTGTCCAAAAACGGCAAAGTCCATTTCCACTCCCGGTGTGGGGGCCAGATTCCACTCCAAGTACACCTACTCCGGATTCGATCGGATTCGACCAAACGATCACGCTCACTTGGAGCCCACTTGCTCGGGATTCGCCCAATCGATCATGCCTGGCTAGTCAATCATAGAAAACCGTGTTTTGGTGTGTGAATTTTTGTACTGTATCGGCGGGAGCCCTAAAAAAAGATGAACAGCTGAAGTCGCTCTCGACTCCTACAAGTATATTAAACAACTTACAGGTATCCTGGATAGCATTTTCGGTGAGAAAATGTACATTCCAGCGTTGATCTTGTTGGAGACGAATGTCTGAGGCTTCTCAACGAATCGCTGAATCTCCCCAGACTTGCTGTCGTACACCACCACACCGTACTTGGACGGCTCTTCCACCTTGGTCACCTGGCGGTCAAATGCACACAACATCCACCATTGTTATAATGTCAGTTCTCCGACATACACATAGGCATCATTACCCACCACCTTGATTGGTAGCCGGCAGCCAACGATTGCATGACGAACCAGCGGAAAATCCCATCTGGTGGAAAGCGTGTTCCGTAACACATTTAACTGACTCCAGCGTACTGTAAGTCTGATACAAAACACCAGTGGTGCAGGTGCCGTGCTGCAGCTATATCTGGCTTGCACACTGAATTCGCATATCGAAAGACCTCTCCTGAATTACTTTGCCAACTGGCCTTCCCCACTCACCACAAGAGAGCCTTCCTTGCCGTGCGCCTTATGGAACTCAATCATCTGCTTGAACGGGTAGTTGCATGTGATGTCGCTGTTGAGCACAAAGAAAGGCTCATCATCGGCTGCAAGAATTTCGCGAGCAACAGCCAGTGGACCAGCTGCAAAAGTTTGGAAGAAAAAAAACACACGACAAAAACACAGAAAGTAATGGACATATACAATGCATGTTACCAGGGGCACACTATCCTCGCAAGGGTGAGCTCACTGAGCTTCAGCGACATGATAAGGTAAGGGGGCATAAGATGGAGAGGACTGAAAGGAAATGTCTCACCTGTTCCCATAGGCTCATCTTCTTGAGAGATGGTGATACGGATGCCAAGCTGGGATAGGACACAGACACACATAAATACATCCACACAGACACACAGTATGAAATGTACGTCAGTGAGCACCAAAGGCATTCTCAATGAGCAGAGCTGATTTCGTCCTCATAGACTGATGCAGTAGCAAGAATAAAATGATATATTTTTGGCCACAGACCACGACAAGAACAGATTTAAAAAATCAAAAAAGTTCTGAAGGATAGAGTAGCAAATGGGAGGCACACACACACACCACACACTAACATTCAGACTTGGCAACATAAAGTCAGCAGTACCTTTTCCTCTTGGATTTTCATCTCGCTCTGCAGCAACTCAGCTCTGTAGCTGACAGCCAGGACCACATGGCGGACACCGGCCTACAGATGGTAAGCAAAAAGAAAACAAATCGCATAGAATCAGGAGCATGACAGCACACGACAACCAACGGCACGGCATGTTAACCGTTATAACCGTGCTGGCTACCTGCACCAGTGTGCTGAACTACTGGTGAGAACTCTGCTGGGATTGAGACAAAGATGTTTATTCCATGATTCACCCCAGTCCCCAGTGTCTGGAGATATGTGGATTTTGTAGAAAAAAATACCATCTCCGCCAGGCCAGAGAAAGGAGACTTAGAATGGCAGATATAGGTGATAAGAACGTTCACGGATTTATTGATGGACTAACAGATGCATGCAGGCTGATTCGGAATCTGCAAAATATACTGATTTCTTCAGTTACTGCTCACTGCGTTACGAACTTCCATATCCATACCCGTTCCTGGATATTGAAGTTCACACGTTTGAATATCGGTATAGCAACATTAGTGACCTTTGGACACTTGGAACAATAGGTAAAGCCTCTACTGTTAATTTCCACTAACTGATTCCTAACGATCATAGCTATAAACACATACATGAATAGGCTATCGAGTTATAGTTGGTTTACGATAATGATATGGGAAACGGGAGGTGCCAGGATCACGTCCTGCTAGGAAGCGGGTGGATTTTTCGAACCGTGCTGCGGCCCACATGAACTGGAAACAAGAGAAGCATGTATGCACCAAATGTGATTTGACCTCTGGTTGGTGGATCCGATCTGTATCCTCCCATGCTGCTTAGGAGCTGCATCTGACAACTAACCATGGGGTGGTGGCATCCCACGGAAGCAGAAAGGAGGTGTTTTGACTTGCACTGTGCGCGTATTCGTAATGTTTATTTTGATGTTATCGAGGCATAGGCAATCACAATTATCACATCCTACCCAGACAATTTTCACCTGGCGCACGATGGTATAAATTAGCTTGATTGGTGAATTCCTAGTCGTCATTATCACTTCCTAACGTTTGGAATTGTTCCCTCGTGTTTATTCCCGAGTTGAAATTCTGGAAATTATTGTTTCAAAACTGTATCGAGGTTTTAGCACATTTTCTTGGACATGCCTCTGCCTACAATTGCTTCATTCTTTTGTGTTATGTTCTAATACAAGTTTCATTACTTTTTCCTTTTCTTCATCATCATTTGAAATTACTCTTTCGTTTCAATGATATGTATCTGCTACTCACAAATTCCGGCCATTCAATATCCTTACAGCCATTACTGATGAGATCTGTAGCATCAAAGCAGCTACATGTAGTTGTATGGAGGAATTATTTCTCTAGTACGATGTGTATGCCAGTATCCACAGCAATCTGAGGAAATGTGTACTGATGGCCATTTCATAATCATAGGAATCATTTTCTACAACACCAGCACTGGCACGGTCACGCTGACACCGTAGTGGTGCTATAGTGCTGGTGGTTAAGTTTTTAGTCAAGCGCATTTCCTGAGCATAATGGATTCCCGATTTCCTGTACAGCTAGGCTGCAGCAGCAGAGATGGTCACGACTGGCTTCAATCCTCTTTTCAAAATTAGTTGATGGGAGTAATTTCTCGGTGTACTCACCGCAGCCAACGCCTCGATCTGATGCAACACAATTGGCTTGTTGCCGAATTCTACGAGTGGCTTCGGCTTCGACAACGTCAGAGGGCGAAGTCTAGTTCCAAAACCTCCTACAAGGATTAGAGCCTTCATGCTGATGGTCTGATCAAAGAGAAAGAGTTTGATAACCACGTACGAGATAACTAATCAATTGCACTGGTGCGATGGCCTTTCTTCGACCACTCTATGATAGCGACAAGGACATAAAGAAAGAAGAAGGAGACACAAAGGGGGTGCCACGCCAAGTCTATTCAATTATTCTTTTGAAAATGAAAATGTCCAAAGTCTGATCGATCGATAAACACAATGCACTTGTCGTTTCGTCGCGTCGCGTCATCATGGTCATTTTGTCGCTACGGTAGCGCCATGCTCCAGCAGATCAGCCAGGGAGTCGTAAAATCCCGATTTTACGACTCCCTCGAGGCCCTCGTGCGCGTACATCCTACGAAAAACTCGCAAGCTAGCTAGCTAGCTCGTGTTGTACACAAAAACAGCCTGACTGATCAGGATTTCCGCCTAAAGACGGGGAATCCCCTTGTGGACTTGCATCAGGACAAGGTTCACGCCGAGTTGGCGAAGCTGGCGAAAGGCGCAACCCTCCAAATCGGAAGGCAGCTACAGATAGGAAGGCGCGTGGGTCTTGCCAACGTCTTCTCCATTTCCTTGTATTGGTGGTTTGGAAAGTGAAAGCTGTTTGATTCGGATTCTCTTTGGAAGACAGCAGCGGGTCAGCAGAATAATGGTAGGCAGAGGCTGAACAAAGCTTGTTTGGGATTTCGGACGGCAGCCCTCCATAAGGTTTGCGTTCTTGGTTTTGTGTCTTCGACCTCTGTAGGGCAACGGGCTGAGTCTTCCCGATGACCTCGAAACCCACTGTAAGTGCTGTTGTCTCTAGAATGCAATACATCTTGTTGTGCTTTAGGGCGCGCCGATTTTCGCAGTTTTTGCCCCTGTACCACACAATGAGAGTTTGTAAGATTGCTGGACAGGCTCCGTGGCTTGTCAATCCGGAAGGGACACTTCGCGGAGGCTGAAATGAATTTTTTGGGTGTTTCAAACGAACCATAATAATGGCAAAAGGTATTTTAGGGGAATGGATAAATACCCTTCCCCAACTCTCATCGAAATGAAACGCTCGCTCCTGCAGTTCTGGACGACGGGCGAGAGAAACCACCTGAAGATTCGCAGAATACATTCTTCACTTATTTTCAAGTAGTCAGGTGGAAGAGTATTGATCGGTCCACGGTTCATCACAAGATCATTTCCAATGGGCAATTAGTGTTTCATCGATGACTTTGTGCGACGCAATGATGTTCGGATTCAACAAACTTTCTTTCATGTCGTCGCTTGAAGTCTTAGTGAACGCTTCTTGTATGGGTGCTGTGCTCCAAACGCGGGCAGCATTGGTTGTCAGCATGGCCAGAAATATAGCAAAATTTCCTACTGTGGATCCAGTTCTGAAAGCCTTCAAGCCTCATGTCCTCCATGACCCCTAATCATAAGACAACAATATATTCTTGGGGTTGCAATTTGGTTGTAAAGGGATTTCCATAACTTGTCTTTGACTTCAATTCTACAAAGTGTAGCATTGTGTGCTGTGAGGAGAGGATGAAAACGAGAGTGTGCAGCTTGAATCATGGATTGCTGGCTTGGTGGAATATTACATTATTTTAGCGGTGAAGTGTGCTCAAGTAGGATTCAAGCAGGTATCCTGCGGCATGCCCGCTACACTATTTCCCGCCGCTTATCGGTATCGAATGCAATCCAGGAAATAATCAAAGGGGAAGTATACCCTAAAATCAAATTTTCACCAGTTGTAGTCTTCGGGGTGCTGAGTCGAATGGTCTTGGTCCGAGGACGCTGAGACGCTCCCTTCCTCCTTTATTCCCAATCGAACTCGCGCACTTCCACCGAAACTGGGTGACTGCGCCCTACTAGATAGGGATTTGTATAGAAAAGTCACTAAAACGCCGTTTCGTTCTTATAAAAGCACGGATGACCGCGATTGGTCCATATGATGTAGTCTTTTGGCCTCTGAGTCGACTGGTTTTGGTCCGAAAAGGCTGCGATGCAGCGTTCGGCCCTTATTCCCAATCAAACACGGTTGATTAAGCGGTCACGTGCTCATGCGTACACCAGTCGCCTGGTCACCGTGCCTGCAGGCTACAATTTTCACATCAAGGTTCAACTCAAAGGTTCAAAGTAGGGAGTCGTAAGAGAGCTTTTAATCTCCGTGGTTCAAAGGTTCAACTCGAGTGACATAAACGGGCCCAAACAGGCTGTAAATGAGCACGTGACCGCTTACTCAACCGTGTTCGATTGGGAATAAGGGCCGAACACTGCATCGCAGCCTTTCGGACCAAAACCAGTCGACTCAGCGGCCAAAAGACTACAACATATGGACCAATCGCGGTCATCCGTGCTTTTATAAGAACGAAACGGCGTTTTTAGTGACTTTTCCATACAAATCCCTATCTAGTAGGGCGCAGTCACCCAGTTTCGGTGGAAGTACGCGGGTTCGATTGGGAATAAAGGAGGAAGGGAGCGTCTCAGCTTCCTCGGACCAAGACCATTCGACTCAGCACCCCGAAGACTACAGCTGGTGAAAAATTGATTTTAGGGTATACTTCCCCTTTAACAAAAAAAAATGTTGGCTCTGTATTGAAGCGAGTGCAGTCTTGCTATGTGTTTGTAGTGTTCACATCTCTCCTCTGTTGTGTGATCCTGTTCCTCCACATTGATTCGAAAGCCTGCCATAAACTGTACAGTGCTTAGCTACTCAATGAAGCCAGGCTCCATCAGTCAGTTAGTGCCACATCCTGTGCAACTCTATGCTTCTGGACAGTGGACTCTCTCCTAGTGCAGGGTGTTAACCAGGCAGTCATAGCATCTGGGGAGAAGATACGAGATCATAGTACCCGAAACAATGTGTGTTTCGACCCCGGATGTGGAAGCTCTTCATGGTCCGTGGTCTATGTTACCTGTGGTCGTCGCCTTGACCTGCTAACCCCAAGTGCAGCCCAGACCAGCAATGCCATATGCAAGCGTGTATACATCATTCCTGCCCCATGAGCGACTGAAATGAGTGAAACCCACATTGTTCCACGTTACAGTTGTCATGCTGTCATTGATAGAAAAAGGCCGGCTAAAAAAGAAGCCTGTTTTGAATGCAGCATGATCTTGAAGACTTTCATATCTCACGTTCCCATGGGTTGTGACATCCGCCTGTGCTGCATACAGACCTGAGTGGCTCGATTGAGCCCAATAGTGGTCATAGGCTGCATGGGTGATATCACTGAAATGACTTGAAAGTTACTTTGAGAGCACTTGACCGGGAGGTTGGTTCTTGCTGTGTTTGGTCCCTTATTTTTCGTGTTTATTCTGTTATGTTGTGTCAGAGATTTAGTCTCGGCATCGTACATACCGTATGAAGGGTGGTATGACAAATGTACGGGATACTTACTTTGCGTTATTGTATATGTGCCTGGTTGCAGTTGACAATGAGGAGATTGCTAGGCTGGGAAAGCGCTTCCGCAAGCTGGACAAGGACAGCTCAGGATCACTGACCGTGGATGAATTCATGTCACTGCCAGAATTACAGCAGAACCCACTGGTCACAAGAGTAATTGACATCTTTGACACAGACCGCAACGGCGAGGTTGACTTCAAGGGTGAGGACCGTGTGATGGTTTTTTTACCCTTTGCTGCAATATCTGTGCATAACTGTATGAATGCATATTTCGCTTTCCTTTACAAGACGATGGTTTTTCAAGTTACCATTGTGATTTGCGTAGGAACCGATGCGTTTGTGCAAGTGTATGCCATTAATATTTTTGCTATAATAGGCAGTGAATCCCCCGCCGGTGATGCTGGAATATTATTCGCATGTGCTTAGTCGTTACTCTCCATGCAATACATGCTTGAGGATGCATAGCACCAATGTTGTAAGGATATGCCTCTATGATGAATGCACTGTAGATCTTGCTATCAGTGTGAATACCTTCAATCTACCTTGCATGGGCGCGTTTATCATCTGATGCTTGCTTGTTTCTGCTTTCGCTCTCAGAATTCATTGAGGGAATGTCTCTCTTCAGCTCAAAAGGCGACAATGAGTCGAAGCTCAAGTGTGAGTATATTTATGCCGAGTGAACATGATGTGTTGACTGTATTCACAAGTATGTGGTGCTGCACACTTGTCCAGTGTCATGAAAATATATGAGGCTATGTAAGTGGTGTGAAGCTTGTGAGGCAGTTTTGCTTCAGCTAGTGCATTGCTGCACCCCAGCTTTGCCACTCCATAGAAAGCATCTCAACTGTTGATGTAATAATTGCATAGACTCTACACTCTCTGTGGCCCCCAACATAATATTATACTGAAAATAACACTAACCCCCCAGGCTCACTCTGTGGCTCTAGCTTCACTGCTGACCTGTCAACTGGTACTCAATGTGTCTGATCGTGGATGTATTGCCTTTGTGTGAACTACTTCGAAGTACACTTGTCACTTCGGGAGAGTACTGGGTTTTGTTTGTACTTGTACCACCAGCTATCCCTCCCTACTTGATTAAATCGCCTTTTTCCAGGGCAGTGTGTTTACCACTTGCATTTCATCAACTGGGTCTCTGTTCTGGGGACCCGGTTTTTCGATAACCGTGAATAGAGCGTATATGTCTGTGTTTCAATCTGTTTTTCTTTGTGGTTGTGCGCATTTGTAGTTGCCTTCAGAATCTACGACATCGACAAGGACGGATACATCTCCAATGGCGAGCTCTTCCAAGTTCTCAAGATGATGGTTGGCAACAACCTGAAGGATGTACAGCTTCAGCAGATTGTCGACAAGACAATCATGTATGCAGACAAGGATGGTGATGGCCGAATCTCTTTTGAGGAGTTTATAGCGGTAAGAGCACAATTTGGAGCTTATGTATAACAGTATTCCAACCATTGGGATTTTCCATTGCAATGCAGTGGGATCTCAGTCTCCAACCACTTCGTACACGCAGTCCCTTTTCCTGATCCTGCACAAGGCTCCACCATGGGCCACAAATACACACAATCCATCAGATCTTTTGCGGAAATAGGACCACTTAGCCTGGTCGGGAGGTGGTCGGATTTCCAAGGGTCCATGTGGCACTGCTGACAACAATGGGAAGATGTGCATACTAGTACTTGCGCTTGGATGAAAGTTCTCCCACTAGACAATTGAGATCAGATAGCTTCATATGCTCACTGTTTCATTCCGGATTTTGATATCCCAATCTGCTGAACAGTCACACAGTTGCATTGTGGTCTGCAGAAAGTCTCAAAGACCAAGGAATGTGCATGGCTCTTGCCAAATTGCTTCTCTGCCGCTAGTGTCTCCTTGTTGGTCGGAATGACAATGTGTTTGTCTTGGATTTGTTTCTCTGCTTGCTATCCATTACAGATTGTTGGAAACAGTGACGTCTCGTCGAAGATGGTGGTAGATGTCTGAGGATACCTCTGGAATTAGATCTTTTCTTCTATGTATATAATTTTCATCAGATTAGTATAGACCTAGACCATGACCTACCAATCATTATTGTCGTGCTGTAACTTGGTGTGTGCTACGTGTGCTGGTGCAAGCTTTGAATAGTGTGTGCAAGACCTGTAACGAGTCGATGGGACACTGTTGCTGCGTGTGGTGTGAACGTGTTGTGAAATCAGTGCGTCGCGAGCGGATTGACTGAGTCACTCCACTGGGTGTGTCTATTGACTGCCGCACTGCTCTAGTCATGAGGTTGGTTTCCATTTGCCACTGCCAGCAGTATCAAGAGTACATAAACCAGAGTGTGCAATTCGGGATGGTTCCTGTGAGAGCGTAATTCGTGCAGTGCGTCATTTCTGACGGCTCATCCCGTAGTATCTGTACGCGTTGTGGTAAACTCTTGACCTAGTGTACGCATATTGCGAGTTTCGAGTAGATACGAGTCGTACCATGGAAATGAATCCGTCTCTCACAGGGAGCCCTACACATACCCGTGGTATGTGTAGGGCTCCCTGGTCTCTCAGGGAGGTGGGTTGACTGGATCGGGATCCGGATTCGTACAATCGAACAAGTACGAATTTGGCGAATCCGGGTCTGGATGCCCGCCATGAACGCGAGAAAAGGAAGAGAGGACTCGGGAAGTCGAGAGGGCCTCCTTCGTGCCTGTCCTCGTGGTGGTGCTGGGAAAGCCGCCACAGTTTTGTACAAGCACTTGGCTGCTCTTATCTCTGAAAAGAGAAACGACCAGTACAGTAGAGTCGCGCGCCCAAGAACGTTGTTTCGAAGGGGTTAGCCTGGGACAGCAATCTGGCTGCGTTCCTATCACGTTCTTAGAAACAGTGCGTACTGGATCATAATATTATGTGTCCCGCAAGCTGCCAGAAAACCAACACCGCCGTTCTTAGCTTTAGGCTGTGGCGTTCTTTGTATTTCAGGCTGGACGTTCTTGGGCTCCACGTTCTTCAGCGCGCGACTCTACTGTATTCTGCCACCACATGACCATGGCGTGGATTCGCACTCGGCTGTGCTTTGCGCTGGTGAGGTCGAGCATCATGTGTTTGCGCGGTGCCAGATCGTCCAAAGTCACGCTACCTCCAGCGAGATCCGGTTGCGGAGGCACGCCTGCAGCCTGAGGCATCTGACTAGCTTAAAAAAAACACACACATTTAGGTTGCTTGTGGACTGAATTTCACTTGTTTTATTAAGCTGTGTTCACAACTGGCGCGTGGACGCGGTACGCTTGCGGTTCATGCGCCCCCAAACGCGCGCTCAGCCTTTCACAAAAAACAGCAATCCGAGTCGTATTTAGCGCGTGCGACACCTTCGAGTACTAATTTTTTGACCCCGCCAGTCAAAGTGACTGGCATGTACGCTGATACGCGCTGAAAATTCCAACATGTTGGAAGTTCCATTTCGGCGCGTTTCCGTACGCATGGCGCCCCAAAAGCCAGCAAAAATACGCACAAACGCGTGGTTTCACGCGTACATGCGCCAGTTGTGAACACAGCTTTAGTGTATAATCATTATCCATATAAAAATCGCTCTGTGAGCGGTTCTGAAAAACCTTTACTGGTACTGCCCTGTCGTAAAAGTAAGAAATTAGAACTGGCCCATTGTCCCCCCAAATGCGAACTGATCCACCTAAATCGCGAATGACGGGACCCGAACGCACCAGTAGCACGAGGTCGGGAGGGCACAGGATCACGGCAATTATCATAGGGTAACACCAGTAGTAGTAGTAGAATTTATTATTTTGATAGGGAAGCCTACCGCTAGTACAGTACATGGCATATGGTCCGGATCAACGTCCCCATCTGCATCCACAGGTAGGAACCTCGTGCTACTGGTGCGTTCGGGTCCCGTCATTCGCGATTTAGGTGGATCAGTTCGCATTTGGGGGGACAATGGGCCAGTTCTAATTTCTTACTTTTACGACAGGGCAGTACCAGTAAAGGTTTTTCAGAACCGCTCACAGAGCGATTTTTATATGGATAATTTCAGCTCTTTTTCCGTTCCCTCCCCACCCCAACCCCGAAGGTAAACATGATGACCACGTGCGCGATGTACTGTATGTAGCCATGCGACTGCAATAACACACTGATACATACCAGCCCTCCCCGCCTCGCTACCCCGCACACAGATACACAAACATGTGTATGCACACGGCACACACACGTGGCCACGCACACATACGCACATGCACACGGCACAAACAGGAAATTCTTCATGTATAATGCCATGCAAAGCAGTGGCCACCGTACTTGAGGAAGTCAGTTGTGAAACAAAAATAATTCAACTACAGCGTGTAGACAAGCTGACGGCCAAAGCACAACATAGCAAACATGACATTTGCCGAAGGATTGCAGTTTGCAGACCATGTCATGGAAGCAGCGAATACAGAATGTAATATCATACAAAGTGACAAGCAAGGACGTGGCCATCATACACCAGAAACTTGCAGAAAGTCACATATCCAACAGATAGAGAAGTGAACAGCAATCTGATACAGCCCACACAGGACAAAGCGGACCTGATACTCGTCCCAGGATCGCAAGTGGCAAACCCTTTTCAATGCTTAACATGCAGGTGTACGTTAGACGCATGAACATCTGACCGTGTCGCCAGCATACAATGTCATCACATGTTTACCCCACAAGTTACACACATGCACAGTAGAAGCACAATGAAAGCAATGGAAAAGTACGATGTGGTTGCTGAAGCATCTTCACACTTCAAATTCAGACTTCAATGTGGTCGTCACGGGATGATATACCTGCAAGATACAAGTGATGAAGAAAGAAAGCAGAAGGTCCGGTGAGGTAGGCTATGAGACACCACAAACGGTTCACCTATATGTCTGTTCAGGGCTAGTGCACTCACACGGAGAATTGTCATAATCGAGCATTTCCCAAACTGAGAAGTGCAATGAAATCCACTTGCATGCACAGGAGCAATTTTGCAATAATTATTATGATGCGCAATTCGACACGATCTGCGATGCTGCGTGCGATGTGCCCTGCTGTCATGATAGTGACAGTCACCGCAGTATGTTTTGTCAACGTCGCCCGTGCACTCTTCTGTCAAGTCCAAAGTGCTCACATACTTGGCAATGTTTTTGCAGTGATTAACTTTTATCCTAGTTAGGCCCCGGTCACACCGAAACAAGCCACTTTGGGCTTGTTATCGCTGGCGCTCAGCTGGCTTGCGTGATCCCTGTGACGCGGTCACACCAGACCTTGAGTGCAAAGCTTGAATGGCTTGTTTTTCTTACCCGCCAAATAATTTTGAATATCTCGAAACACACCAATGTTTGCAAGAAACTGGAGAGAACGTTCGCGATCTAAAACTGTACTTGTTCTAGTGTTCAGTTTTGATGAAGAAGCAAAGGAAGCCCGGATTCTGAATTGCGAAGTCGTGCTCTTTTTATTTGTTCGGTGTGCATGGACGCGATGGTTCGGGTGGTGTTTCCTGATGTCGAGCTTTCTGCCCCGCCGGTTGCCGTTATTGAACTCATTTGCAATCCACTCTCTTCTTCGTACCCGGCTTTCTTCATGATTTCGGTCGTGAGTGTGGTGCCTTGTCTTGGCCTCAAACCACAGCTCCAACAATCTACGCAGCAGTCTAGAGGCACAGCGGCAGAAATCCATGGTCGTCGGACAAAATCCAAATCAAACTGAATACAGTGTAGTTGGGGTAGACAGACTCACGATCAAAACCAAAGGCACAGGGATAGCACGGTTCCACGGACACAAGAAAGAACATCAGTTCATCATGTCAACTACAAGGTGTGCTCTGGAGCTCCAAGCGCACTCAAATTATTTTTTGAATTTCGGCTTTCAGCCGCTTGTACAAGCTGTGGCTGAAACAAGCCGGAAAAAAACGGCTGAGAGTCAGCCACGGCTGAAAGTCGCTTGTAGGACATTTTTCAGCCATTTCCATGGTAATAGTGACGTAAACAAGCGCTTGTTTCGGCTGAACGGCTGAATCGAGCTCGGTGTGACCGCGGCCTTATGTCACGGGTAACTTTAATGAAGTACCCGCAGGCCGTGTCGATCTGCACATCGTCCACTCTCTCATGTACTTGGCCTGCTTTGTCTGTGTATCCATTTCATGTGCGATCCACAAAATCGACTAGACAGTGGGTGCAATACGCTCTCTACCTGAAGACGTTCTTCTGGCGACACCTCGCCATGTACTTGGCCTGGCTTTGTCTGTGTATCCATTTCATGTTCGATCAACAAAACCTCAATGCACTACAGAGACTAGACAGTGGGTGCAATACGCTCTCTATCTGAAGACGTGAACCATTAAATTTTTTGGAAAAGTTATACGTACACCTGAAACGTAATGAAGTACAGGAATAGAGAGAGAGTGACTACAATACGCTCTCGACCTGATATAGTGATAACGTGAGTACAAGACACTCTCCACCTGATAACGTGTTAGAAGGTAACATGTCTACAGTCCCGACGTACCCTTCCGACACGACTGTGGACCATTAATTTTTTTGAGAAGTTATACGTACACCTTAAACGTAATGAAGTACAGGAATAGAGAGAGTGACTACAATACGCTCTCGACCTGATAACGTGAGTACAAGACACTCTCCACCTGATAACGTGTTAGTAGAAGGTAACAGGTCTACAGTCCCACCGTACCCTTCATCATTCCTCATTTACCATCGCGCGATACCCTGGCACACACTGGCAACATATCAATGGGTGCCTTACCGTCGTCTAGAGGAGACGTCTTCGCAGCAATATTTTCCCTCCTGCGCATTCAGTCGCCGACGCGACAGCGTTCACGGGGCCGTTCCAGTTGCGGAAGACATTCGATTCATCGGGCCAATTCAGAAACAGGGCCGTGGGCACACAGGGGGCAGAGGAGAGACATTGTTAGTGGACAAGAAATATGCAGTGGCAAGTGGCGAGTGCCGCATGGGTGTCAAGTTGTCATGCATTTTCAGCTATTACTTACGGTCCAGCTAGTGACGTGTAGTCCTGCCATTGCTCGCTCGTCCTGGTTCCTCCTCGTTCGTCTTCCTGCACGTCTGCACTTCTCCTTCCCCACCGTTGGCTTTGCGGTACGGGGGTGCCGGATGGAATTCCCACCATGTATCCATGTACATGAAGTCCCACCATGACTCTCCATGTACATGTCCACGGCCACGTCAGCAGTTTGTATAGTACCGGAAGGAGTTCCCACGATGTCTCCAAAGGCCTAGAGCGGACGTCTTTGCAGCAATTCATTTCGCCCTGCACATTCAGTCATTCAGTTCGCCGACGATGTCTCCAAAGGCAAAGGCCTACATGTAGTACCCTGCACATTCACTCCGCCGACACGACAGCGTTTACGGGGCCGTTCCAGGTGCAAAAGGTCCACGTCAGCAGTTCTCAACTATTTCGCGTACGGGATAGTCGCCGCGACAGCGTTTAAGGGGTCGTTCCAGGTGCAAAAGGTATCCATCAATGGCACTTTGCAGTATGGGGTACGGAAAAGGGGCCTCCTCGTTCGACTTCGTCGACTTCTGCATCATGCAGTTCTCCTTCCCGTCAGGGGTACCGAAAGGGGCCTCCTCGCTGTTGTCCTTGCCGTCAGGTCCACGTCATGCAGTTCTCAACTATTTCGCGTACGGGATAGTCGTCTTTGTCGTACGCGACATCGGCGTTTACCGAGTGGCATTGGCACAAAGCGGACCGTTGACGGGGTCACGTGTCAAAAAAGTATCAACAACGTGTCGACTACGTGTCGACCACGTGTATAGCGGTACACTCAGCGGTACACTAATTCTCGTGCCATTCTCGTGTCACAAAACTGGAACATCGAGTACCAGTATGGAAAGGCTTCAGACAGGAAGCCTTTCCAATAATAACAATTTTTTGGTTTTGCCCGTACAAGAGGCTTTTCTACAGGGGTCTGGGGCTGATGGATTCGTACAATCGAACATGCCCTAAATCATGCAAACTTGGCTGATTTACGGACTGTGAAACGCGAATATTTGAGCTGTACGCAAGTCGCAGCTTGGCTGACCTCATCATAGTGACGTAGTGCACGAACTGCGCTGTTTCAGATCTGATGATATGCACAGTTGCACACTCTGGTTTATGTACTCTTGCAGTCTTGGTACACTTTACACCAGGGAGCTGTAAAATACAAAAAATACCATTTTACGACTCTTGCTTTACACGTATAATCAAGAGTATATAACCCCCCCCCCCCCCAAGAGTGTGCAGCATATGGGGTCTCCGACGGCGAAAACTCACATCACGTGTCTCAGATATGTTCGTACCACGTACAAACGAAGGATAGCGTGCGCGCAATCCGAATATCAGCGATGATCATGCTGGGGATTTGGATACGTGCAGTGAGTTTCTGTCAGAGAGTGCTTTTTTTAATACTCCACTGCTCGCTAAAAATGGGCTGGAAACGTACAACTGAGACACTGCACCACGTGATGTGAGTTTTCGCCGTCGGCGTACCCCATAGAAAGGGTATCAGGAGTTGCACACTCTGGGGGGGGGGGGGGGGGGGGGGGGGGAGGGGGTTATACTCTTGGTATAATCATGGACAGGCGCTAGGCAAGAACTCATCCACACAAATTTCCCAGTGTTTGCAGAACTCCCGGTGATCTGTGTGGGGATGGCCTGTAGACTACCCCAACTGTGACATGATGCGAATCCACGACACGATCAATCCAAGTCGACTCCTAGCCAGTTACTACTACTGTACCGTAAAATCCCGCCAGAACACCCGTCTCTCCTATCCGCCCCTCCCTGACTTCTTGTCAGGGGCGTGATTGATTGTATCCTCGTATGACTCTGTCACAGTCTGTGATGCCGTACTGTACTGCAGACGCGTGCTCGACCCCGTTGGAAATGTACGCAACAGTGCCCACCCTCTTGACCAGGGATTGCACAAACCCTGAGTTTTGACGGGTCTGTACGACTCCTGGCTCTTGACCTTTGGTCGGTGTACGAGATGCACGAACAGTTTTCGTAGGGTGAGTACTTTTTCATGTAGCACTGAATGCGGCAAGTAGGACTCGCCCATCCGCCCCTCCGCACCTGAAGCGTCGAGGAGGTAGGGGCGCTCTGGCGGGATTTTACGCTACTTGAAGTAGACTAGTGTTGGCTGACCAGGTTGAATACTTCCACATGATGGCCACTTGCCAACAGTTGTATACGGTTCATGTACTAGTACTTTGAAGTACTGCATTGCTGGGTGTTCACATGACAGTACTGCATTGCTGGGTGTTCACATGACTTTGAAGTACTGCATTGCTGGGTGTTCACATGACGATTCATTTTGCCGTTGGATACAGTAGAGTCGCGTGCATAAGAACGTTGCTTCCGAGGATTAGCCTGGGCATTCTTAGAATCAAGAGTACATGAAAACCAGACTGAGAGTGAGCAGGTCGGATGGGTTGCTGTCACGGCGGAATTCCACGATTACATCATTTTAGTGATGCAGTGTTAGGGCCTGGTCAGACTGCGGCAAAGTCGAAATAATCCTAGGATTATAATCCGAATCTCCATAGTAACTTGCCGCCAGAGCGGCAAAAGCGAGAGTTGACGCTCCAAACAAAAAGCAAGAACGGACCACGCTTTTCCGCTCCAAACAGGATTTGACGCTGATACGCCATTGACGCTGATAATCACTGATTTTTTCATCTCGATATCGAGGAGCTAATTGGCCACGGACAACAACAAAACTCATACGGATGGTTGCAAGGATTGCACTGAAGGTGTTGGCGATCCCCAAGGTGAAGGAATTTGACGTCGTTCGTGGAGATTACCACTTGACGCTCGAAATGAAGTTTGAATTTTCACTCTCCCCACATGTGTAGTGTGATCGCGATTCAAATTCTGGACGCTGTTCTGTTTTCGTCAGGCAACCAAAATTTGCCGCAGTCTGACCAGGCCCAGGAGTGTGTACAAGCAGGATTCAAGCGGGTCTCTTTCTGCACAACTGCAGCTCAATTCACGGGAAAACAGCAAAATTCGAAAAAATTCCAAAGATCCAAAAGCACCCCATTATTCAAAAAGATAATCTGGAAACCCCTAACGCACTACGCCATTTCCCGCCTCAGATCTGCGCCAAGTATGATGTAATCACAGAATTCCGCCGTGATAGACACCCATACCATAGTAGAAAAAGCCCCTAGCTGCACACTCTGGTTTTCATGTACTCTTGTTAGAATGTACTTCTATATTTCGTATTTTTCAGCAATCTGGCTGTGTTCTTAGGGCATGTTCGATTGGTAGGATTTCGATCCAGTCAACCCACCTCGGGGAGCAGGCCAGGGTTGACCGGATCCACCGAATTTTTTTGCCAAAAATCGTACTGCACATGATACGTGTACAAATGGCGGGAATAAAAGCGACGGTGCGGAAATCGTTGCTTTCCCTCATGGAAACCCTGAAAATCACTAAAATTCCAGATTCGATCAAGGGAAGGCAGTGTTGATTGGACCTAGGTGGATGCAAAGGATCCACTCAATCGATCTGGATTCGGATCCAACCAATCGAACATGCCTTTAGAAACAATTCGTTCTGGATCATTATGTTTAATGTACCCCAAAAGCCGTTTCACAATACTCCCTGGTATTGCTCCCTGGTTTCTCCAGGACTGTACAATCTCTAGGCAATACATGTATCTACAGGTGTGCTTGGTGAAACCCGATCCAAGTGCTTATTTGGTGCCCTCAACTTGCACCGCCCTTGACACCCTGGTCAGTGGAAGTGGTATGAATGCGGCTGGATATACACATAATTATACCGTAAAGTCGCGGATAAAAGCCGGGCTTATAAGCACATAAGCCGCTTTCTGCATCAGGTTTCAATGCAAACCAGGCTTGTATGCAAACCATGCTTATATGCACCACTGATATTTTTGCCAGGCAGTTTTACTACGCACTGTACATAGCGCATGCACTCTTGACCTACCCGATCCGCGCTTGCATAGAAGCCAGGCTTCTACGCGCGACAGGCTTATAATATACAGTGACCCGTTTGATTTTCAGGCTTCTATCCGCGATGTGCTTGTATGCAAACCCGGCTTTTATCCGCGACTTTACGGTACATGAATGAGTACAGTGATGTAATCGGAACTGGTCCAGGACGTCAGTTTTGCACTTCGGGTCGGGTTTCAGTGAGCGCAACTGTACATTGCAGTAGTATAGATGGGTGTAAACGACGGGAAGCTTGTCACTCAAGCTTCCTGTTGTTTACAGAGGATTTCTTACATTAGGCTGTCCCCTGTGAGAGAGCACTTTTCTTGTAGACGACAATAGTTTGACACTATTAACGGTAGTCCGATACTTCAAAGAATCTGTGATCGAGATGAATTTATCAAGGAGTTCCAATGGAACGTCACCAACACAGTACTATTCATTCTTGCCTTGAAAAAAATACTCACGGCTTTCTTGTTCTCGTTCATCAGTGTTCAGTGACTTCACTGTACTCAATAGTCTTATTTCCAGGTCGGCAGCATTTACATGTTGCACCAAGCTGCATGACTTCAGTGACATGGGCGTATGCACAGTACAATAATACTGTACTGTGACTACTGTCAAATCAGTGTTGCTTCAGAAGCAGCTTTTAACTGCGGCTGCTGCTATCTCCAGGCAAACCCTGCCACGGCTGTAAGTAGTGCAAGTCCACCTGCAAACATCGGCGTCAAGGCCATGCTAGGCTGCAGAAACACCAACAGCCAGCCCGCACTGCAGACGGCCGTCAGGATGTAAGGGAAGAGTACAGCGATATCGAACTCTTGAGTCTCACCGCCGCCAGGCCTACCTGCCTGAGACCTGGCGTGCTGGTCTCTCTGCTCCGTGTTAGGTACACCAATTACGACGTTGAGCACCGTGCCACGCTGGTAGTCGCACGTTGCCAAGGTTGCGCTGTCCGACAGCTCACGGCCTTGCAAGACAAACCTGATACGCCGCATCTCCTCCTGCTCCTCACCGAACAACAGGCTGTGCAGCAGAGAAGACAAGAGTGCGTAGTTGGATGGATAAAAATTGGAAATGGGACACATTTACAACAGGGAGACTACGAACGCTATGTCCACACCCCGACTGAGCTGTGTCCGACAATACATAAGGCATACATCCATAAATATAATGCTAGGATACGTGCACCCGAACACCTGCAAGAAATAATGTTAAGTTTACACAATCTCATATGCTAAGAGCTCAAACCCAGTCTGTCAAGATCACAAGTTTTATCGGTTGGTTTCATGACGCACCCTCTTCCAAGCTGTGTGTGTGTGTGTGTGTGTGTGTGTGTGTGTGTGTGTGTGTGTGTGTGTGACTGTGTGTGTGTGATTATGTGTGTGTGTGTGTGTGTGTGTTCGGTCCATTGTGGGTATCGGTCGTCGTCAACAGTGGGATGATCGGATCTCAACGGCCACATTAGCAGCTACATTCGGTGTTGACCCTGATATCACCCGTATCATCCGTCGCCACCGGCTTCGTTGGCTGGGTCACGTCGGCAGGATGGACGACTCACGCGCACCGAAGCAATTGCTGTTCGGCGAGCTGCCTGCCCCCCGTCCTCGTCACGGCCCGAAGAAGAGGTGGCGAGATGTGGTGTCGACTGACCTGGCGGACCTCGGCGTGACCACCTGGCTTGAGAGTTGCCAAGATCGTCCCGGCTGGAGACGAGTTGCGAGTAGCACCCCACCGCCACGGCCCGCTCCTGATCCTCTTCTATGTGTCTGTGGACGCCCATTTCGTCGACCAGGAGACCTGAAACGACATGCCAAGTTCTGCGCTCGTGTTCTCACTTGAACTTTCCGACATTCGCTATCATTGCGTACGCAATGGGCAAGATCAAGGTCAAGGTGTAGTATTGGCGCACCGTAGCGTAGGAGCACGTGACACTTTGCATGCATGACCTGTCATCTATAGAAACCTGTACGCCGGCCTGATAGACACGCTTTTTGCACACCACAGTCAATAGCCTGAATGCTTCACAGATTTTATTCTTCCTCCTGCCGCCACTCTGTCTGGTCCACACACATAATAATAGATATCACTTTTCCTACACTGTCTCCCTTGCTTTAGCAATTAGTTATGGATTCCGTTACACCGCTGGCGTCTCTTTCTCTTTCTTCATTCGCTACCTAAACATAACGTTTCCATTGTTTCTCTTCGATATTCTTTCCGCTAGTTCTCGCTGTCTTTTCCCGTAGTCTCGATCTTTCTGCCGCAAAGCCCGCTGTTCTCCGGCTAGCTATTCCGTACTCTACGCTGTCCATCTCGATCTAGCGATCCTTCTCCCTGCTCCGCTGCGCTGTTTTATCGATCTCCCCGATAGCTAACTTCCTCTATAAATTGCTAGTGTTCACAATCATTCTTTGCCTTTCCGTGATTCAGACCAAGAGAAGTACGTTCCCGAGAGTTAGGCTCTCTCGACCCCGAGTTCAACTGTGAAAGTCTGCGACTGTGTCGTAGCATTGATTGTGATCGTAGTTTAGAGAGAGAGACTTTGAGTGCATGAACTGTTGATATCGCCGATATCACACTGGTGCCAGCGGTGGTTCGTCCTCTACGTGCTTTCTTCTTTAGTCCTCTTGCTGTCTCGGTCGCTACTTGCTTGCTTCTCTGTCCACTTAGCGGTCCTCGTTCCTCTTGTCCTGAATCTCGTTCACCACCTGCGCTCCGGTCACCATGGCTCAACCTGCTCCTGCTGGTGCTGCTGCTGCTGCGCCTGCCGCCGTCCCGCGTGTGCCTCCTCACGCTATTATGCCAAACAAATTTGCTGGTTCGCTGTCGGACAGCTGGCCGACGTGGCTCAACCACTTTCAGCAAGTGGCTACCATCAATGCCTGGACGCCCGCCGAGCAGAGTCAGTTCATGGCAATATCATTGAACGACGAGGCTCAGCTTTATTACCAGTCGCTGCCCCAGGCCACCCGACAGGGCCCAGTCGCTGCTCTCATTCAGGCGCTCCAGGACCGTTTCGCGCCTGCCCAGCGCGTGGACCTACACCGCGCCAATTTCAAGGGCTCACACCAGTCCAAGGAGCAACCACTGGGCTCCTTCTGCGAGAACGTAAGACACTCTGCACGCCTTGCCTACCCAGCCATGCAGCCTGCTGATTTGGATGTCCTCGCAAAGGACCAGTTCGTCCAGGGCCTGGATTCGCGTGCCATGCGGATCCGGGTCCGCGAGCTGAACCCCGCCACGCTAGACGACGCTCTTCGGGCCGCGATGCAACATCAGGCAATCCAACGCGCGGAGACTGCCCCGGAGGAGCGCCCGCCAACGTTGCCCGCGTGTTCCGCGCAGCCATCTTCGACCAGGGACGCTCTAGCCGACCAAGTGAAGGCCCTGGCGGAGACCGTGGCCGCACTGCAGTCTGTCCAGACGGAGCTTGCCCGCCGATCTACCAGGGACACGGGCTACCATCGGCGTGACGAGCCATCACCCCGCCGCATGCCGCCCAGCCCTCGCCCTTCTACATCGTGCTGGAACTGCGGGCGAGACGGTCATTTGGCCCGGGACTGCCGCTCTGCTCCTCAACGCCAGGCTTCCCAGCCGTTAAACTGGCGCCAGCTGCGACGGTGAGCCCACGTTCGCCAGCCGTCTTCTCCTTTTGGGCTCCGGTTAGTGACCGATGTGATTTTGTATATATTCTTGACTTCGTTGCCATCGCTCTGTTTGCACTGGGTTGCATCCATTTCTGCATTTTGTTTCCTTGGCTGTTGTGTTGTCCTCCCGTTCTGTGGTGTGTGTACCGGTCGAATCCTCAGGCCTTCCGCCTTCCCTTGTCTACTCTTGTCTCTGAGATTTCTGGTTTGTGTTCCTTGCCGACTGTACAACCACCTGTGCCTGTTACCTCTGTCAATGCTGCCTCCTCATTCTCTGTACCTGCCTCTGCAGAGGATGTGTCTGCTGTAGCTCTTATTGACACAGGTTCTGCGGTATCCATGGTCAGTATGCAGTTGTATTCTCGGCTGCCGGATCACCTATCCTTGAGCAAGTCTTCCCTTCCACGACTTCAATCCGTTAATGGCTCCCCTGTCTCTGTGTTGGGTAAGCTGTCTGTGTCTGTTACTGTTGGTGGCCGTGCATTCCGTCATGACGTCCTTGTTGCTGATATCCAGCCAGAACTTGTCCTAGGGTTGGATTTCCTTGATTTGCATGCCTGTATCTTGGACACTAGTAACCGTCGACTTACCTTTGAGCCTGTGCCTGCTTCAAACAATGCCTGTCGCCTTGATAACAATACCCCACCTCCCTTCCCCGCTAACTGTCGTGTCCGCTTAACGGAGAGTATTTGCATTCAGCCCTTTTCCCAAGTCATTCTTCCTGTTGCTTGTGATGCACCACTTCCCACCGGTGACTTTCTTCTTGAGCCCCGCCCTGACCTTCATGAGGTGTTTGACATATCCGCTACTTACAGTGTTGTTTCGGGTCCCCTCGCTGAGCCTGTTCCGCTCCGTGCTGCTAGTACACACCAGGCCTCTGTCACTCTTCAGAAAGGCACTTGGGTAGCTACTGTTAGCCCTTGCTCTGTTGATCCCGAGTCATCTGCCCCGGCGGATGCCCTGCCTGTTCATGCTACCCACATTGGTTATGACGGCACCGTCCACACAAAGCCACGTCTCCAGGTCGGTGCTGAAGTGTCCGTCTTCTCGCCCGTCGTCCCGAAAGGAAAGTCGCCCAAACTACACAGCTACTGGTCCGGCCCGTTCGTTGTCCGTAAGGTGCTGGACTCTGTCACTGCCACCATCGAAGACGCCAGCAAGGGCCAACGGCTGACGGTCCACGTAAACCGCCTCAAGCCGTATATTCGGCCGCCTGAAGTGCCAGTCGCTCCTGCACAGTATACGGCCCAGATTAACCCGACCTGCGATGACGACCTACCCGTACCGCTGGCTGGCCCGCCGCCTCGCTATAACCTCCGGCCTCGGAATGCACTCCAGCGACCTCACCGCTATAGACAACCATAAATTGTAAGATCATTTTAAACGTCATCGTAAGACACCCTTATCTATATTGTTTTCCCTGCTTCATTTTTCTTTCATGTTTACTACCTGTATACTTTGAACACGAGGGCGTGTTCTCAAGAAAACAAGGTGTGGTGTAGTATTGGCGCACCGTAGCGTAGGAGCACGTGACACTTTGCATGCATGACCTGTCATCTATAGAAACCTGTACGCCGGCCTGATAGACACGCTTTTTGCACACCACAGTCAATAGCCTGAATGCTTCACAGATTTTATTCTTCCTCCTGCCGCCACTCTGTCTGGTCCACACACATAATAATAGATATCACTTTTCCTACACTGTCTCCCTTGCTTTAGCAATTAGTTATGGATTCCGTTACACCGCTGGCGTCTCTTTCTCTTTCTTCATTCGCTACCTAAACATAACGTTTCCATTGTTTCTCTTCGATATTCTTTCCGCTAGTTCTCGCTGTCTTTTCCCGTAGTCTCGATCTTTCTGCCGCAAAGCCCGCTGTTCTCCGGCTAGCTATTCCGTACTCTACGCTGTCCATCTCGATCTAGCGATCCTTCTCCCTGCTCCGCTGCGCTGTTTTATCGATCTCCCCGATAGCTAACTTCCTCTATAAATTGCTAGTGTTCACAATCATTCTTTGCCTTTCCGTGATTCAGACCAAGAGAAGTACGTTCCCGAGAGTTAGGCTCTCTCGACCCCGAGTTCAACTGTGAAAGTCTGCGACTGTGTCGTAGCATTGATTGTGATCGTAGTTAAGAGAGAGAGACTTTGAGTGCATGAACTGTTGATATCGCCGATATCACAAAGGTGTGTGTGTGTGTGTGTGTGTGTGTGTGTGTGTGTGTGTGTGTGTGTGTGTGTGTGTGTGTGTGTGTGTGTGTGTGTGTGTGTGTGTGTCACTAAGGTACACTGTCTCAGAATTCACCTTTTTAGTTCACGGATAGCAGTGGTCTCCGGTACACGTCGTTTCATCACTACCTCACGATCGCTGTCCGAGTACATTGTTTTCAACGTCACATCAATCAGGGTTGGACCAGTCACGTCCCTATCTGGCTGGTTGGCACTGTTCGTACTTTGCTCCCATCCATCCGCGTTGCCGGCGGCG